CCCCCCCCCAGATAAAGGGCGCTTGCTTTCCATCCCGCCTCTGGCCCCTTCCAAACGCTTCCCTGTATCGGACCGGCTGCCCTCGTTTTGTCCCAGAAGGAAACCATCTGGGCGCTATTTTTAGGCCTGGTCCGGAGTTGCTGGTCTGATTTTCCTCTCGGCTCCCCCTGCGCCCCCCCATATCATCTCTTGCCTGGGTGCCCCAGGCGAGGGGCAGCTGCTGCTTCTGATTTGGGATCTTTGTGGGCAGCTGCAAAACACTCTGCACGGCTGGGAAGGATCCGCTTCCAGCCGGCCCTTCCCTGCCGCCCCCACCCAGTGGAAATCGGGGAGCAGCTGCTGCCCAGCGGATTCCACTCTGGAAGGGGGGAGTCAGAAACTGCCCTAAAGAGGCCATTTTGGCACGCAAAGCTTTCATGACTGCCGCTGTCTGTGCTGGGGGCCCTTGCAATTGCCTGGGTGGGGCAGAGGTCAACCTTGATAAATCAGGTTTCTAGTCCTCGTGGCTGCCTGGAGGGCCTCTGACTGGTCCTTGGGCTGTCCTGAAGCAGCCAGGACTGCACGTTCACCTTTGCTCCTGGTGACCAGGGGGAGGGCCTGGCCTGCACCCGGTGACCAGTGGGAGGAGGCCTGGGGCCCTGAAACTGGGCTGTGCTGGGCTGTGCTGGGAGGGAGCACAGAGGGAGGGCAGGAGGATCCCCCCCTCTGAAGTCGGAGCTGAGTCTGGGCTGGGCTGAAGGGATTGAGAGGAGATGCAAGACCTCCCCCTGACCTGCAATGGAATGGCGGTGGGGGGGGGAATCAGGCAGGGCTGCCCCAGGGTCCCCCACCCGAGCACAGTTCCTGGGGGGGGCAAAGCTGTCCTCATGGTGGCTACAGACACCCCCCCCTCGATCCCAGAGACCCCTCAGGGCCTTCCCTCTGGGGGGCAGAGAGGACCTGTTGTGTTCTGCCCTGCTGCTGGTTGGGGGTCCCACTGAAGGCTCAGCTGGAGCAGGGGGGGAGGGGGCCAGAGGACAGGCACTGGGGGGGAGCTGACCCAGAGGCAGGTCCCTGGCTGATCCTGAAGAGCCCACACTCAGGTGAGGCCATGAAGTTGGAGGTGGGCATTGCCCCCCCTTCCTCGGCTGGGTGTTTCAGACACAAATCACAGGAGCCCTGTGGCCGCCTGGCACCCGACTAGTCGGTTTTGGTTTCGACATTTATTTATTTTTGTTCCTCTTCCGGTTGTAGCTAGCTAGATTCCTTCCCGTGCCTGCATCTGTCAAATAAGACATAATCCTAATAAAAACGTTGCCCGCAGGTCTAGCTTGTGCTGGGGTGTGGTGCACAGGAAAGTGTTGGCTGTACACGAGCACAACTGGAGGCTATCTCCCGTCTTGGACTGTGATACCTCAGGACCCATCATCCCCAAGCAGCCCAGGCCAGCCCCTTCCGGTGGCCGACTGGCTTCAGTTGTGAACCCTGAAGGAAGCCCAGTGGCGGCAGGGCGAAGCTCAGTGACGTGGGAGCAGCTCTCTGCACATGCTCCGGCAGACGCCCAGCGTCAGTCTGCTTGCCACACTGAGGAGGGTCACGGGGTCCTGGGCGGGCGCAGGGCCATGGCTTCCGAGTCTGACAGGTGGCCACCTTGCAAAGATGGCCTGAGTGTCCTCGAGGGTGCCTTGACCCCCTCCCCCCACGGGTCAGCAGGACAGTGGCCCTCTGTGTCTGGAGAAGGTCACGTGGGCAGCCGGTCTGTCACTATTGTTCAGGTTGGGATGGGGGGGCGGTTGGCTCCGTGCTACCATCTACCAGCTGCCATCACTCCCCCCCCAAAGAAAATCTGCATGTGATCACATGGGCTGAAGATAGGTAACCTACATTAGGGAAGGTTTGCAATTAGATATGGGACGGTTTGGGGCTCCTAATGGTATAGGACAGGGGTCTTCAAACTTGGCCCTTCTATGACTTGTGGACTTCAACTCCCAGAATTCCTCAGCCAGCATGAGGGAACTATGACCCTTTGATGACTTGTGGACTTCAACTCCCAGAATTCCTCAGCCAGCGTGAGGGAACTATGACCCTTTGATGACTTGTGGACTTCAACTCCCAGAATTCCTCAGCCAGCGTGAGGGAACTAGGACCCTTTTTATGACTTGTGGACTTCAACTCCCAGAATTCCTCAGCCAGCGTGAGGGAACTAGGACCCTTTTTATGACTGTGGACTTCAACTCCCAAAATTCCTCAGCCAGCGTGAGGGAACTATGACCCTTTGATGATTTGTGGACTTCAGCTCCCAGAATTCCTCAGCCAGCATGGGGGAACTATGACTCCTTTATGACTTGTGGACTTCAGCTCCCAGAATTCCTCAGCCAGCGTGAGGGAACTAGGACCCTTTTGTCTTGGGGACTTCAACTCCCAGAATTCCTCAGACAGGCACACATGCTTGGCTGAGGAACTCTGGGAGTTTAAGTCCACAAGTCATAAAAGGGCCAAGTTTGAAGACCCCTGGTATAATGAGGAACCATTTAAAAATTGGATGGCTGAGGGGGGGACACGAGACAGAATGACCGGGCTGGAGGGTACCTTGGAGGTCTGCTAGTCCAACCCCCTTCTCAAGCAGGAAACCTGTGCCATTCCAGGCAAGTGGCTGTCTAGCCTCCTCTTGAAAACCCTCAGTGTTAACGGGGGGCGGGAGAGGATTTGGGGCTGAAAGAACGGAAGCAGCGTCCACGGATGATACCTCGGCTGTATTGAGTGTTGTGGATCTTCTGGGCCTTTAGAACACAGAATAACAGAGTTGAAAGGGGCCTTGGGGGGGTCTTCCAGTTCAACCCCCTGTTTTCCTTGCACTCATCTCAAAAAGCCTTGAGGGGGAAAAACGTTGAGCTAGGAAAGAGACGGGATCCAGCGATCCCTCAGGGAAGGATCAGCCACACAGCCTAGGGCAGGGGTAGGCAACCTTGGCTCTTTTATGACTCGTGGACTTCAACTCCCAGAATTCCTGAGCCAGCTATGCTGGCTCAGGAATTCTGGGAGTTGAAGTCCACGAGTCATAAAAGAGCCAAGGTGGCCTACCCCTGCCCCTAGGGGTTATCTGGCCATTACGTTGCCCTGGATTTATTGTTGAAACGCTGCATTTTTGAACACCGTACCTGCATTGTAGGGTTTTAAAAAATGGCTTTTCGTGTAACTGAAAACGGCACCAAGCTCACCTGGCCAGATGGCCCTGGACAGGTGACTCAGGGGCAGCTCTGGCTGAGGAGCCCATCCTGGGGGGAGATGCTTCTGGGCTTCCTTCTGGGATCTCTGTATGTGCTGGAGCTGCTTCTAAATTTAGCAGCTGCTGCCTCCAAAACTTCAATCCACTTTGAGTGCAGCGTCTCATTCTTGGCTCTCCCCTGCCTTCCTCCCCAGAGGCTCTTGCAAGAAGCAGCTTGGAAATCCCTCTATTTGGGCCCTGCTTTTTCCACGGCCGGAGGCAGAGCCCTCTTCCCCCACCCCAGAGGGCTTCTGGGTGGGGGATTCCCCGTTTCCCTGGAACAAGGGAGCCGGGTTTTGTTAAATTGGGTGGGCTCCTTGGAAATGGGAGTTAGCTCCCAGGCGGGTCCGAGTTCAGAATGCGAGGTTATTTTCTTCTGTGACCCTCCTCCCCCCCCTCTTCCCCAGCCAGAGAGAAGCGTTGGTCTAACTCAGGGGTCCCCAAAGGACAGCTGGCTGGGGAATTCTGGGAGCTGAAGCCCAGCGGCCTTAAAAGTGGCCAACTTTGGAGAGCCCTGGTCTAATTCAAGCTTCTCCCTCTGTAGGTGACAGTATCTGACTTAAGCAAGAGGCTGGAAAATTCAGCCTGTGCCAAATGAGGCAGGGAGGGAGGTCCCTGGATGCCGCCTTGTGTGTGTGGGGGGGGCATGAGGTCTGAACAGTTGTATTTACTCTTCCAAAGCTAAAAGGGCCAAAGATGGTCATCAGGAACTAGAAAGTGTTGTGAGCACCAGTTACCCTCTAATCTCCCTGTTGCGTTGTGAAGTTAAGTGGGGCAAAAAGTATTCGGCATCTTCAGCAGGTGCAGCCCAGGGAGGGGTCAAAGGGAGGGCTGGCCATCATTAGGGAGAACCCACAACTGGGTTTACGTGTAGCTTAAGGGGCCGGGCTGGGCTTGTGCCTTTAAAGAGCAGCAGCGACCCGAGTCAGCAAGTTGTGGGTGTTCCAGCGCTGGAGGTTTTTAAGTAGAGATTGGACAGTCATTTGTCTGTCTGAAATGGTACAGGGTTTCCTGCTTGAGCAGGGGGCTGGACTAGATGACCTCCAAGGTCCCTTTCAACTCCGTTATTCTGCTACAGTCGCCTCTGCTGGGGACCTGCTCCTCTGAGGTGCCCAAAGAATATAAAGCACATTGGTCTCTTCCATACATGGCCAGACACAACACACCCACAAACACACACACACCACGGCAAAGGGGCCCCTCCAGACTCGGAGGAGGAGGAGGAAGGGACGGACTCAGCCCTGGCGAGGCAGGGGCTGTGGGATTGATGGTGGGGGATTATCTCAGAAGCTGACGTGGCCCTCGAACGTGCTCTGAGGCTGGGGAGGGTCACTCGGGGAGGACACGCCTTGGAGAAAGAAGCACCCACCCCCCTCACGGAGGGCTGGTGTCCAGCTGATCTGCTGGGCTTACTGGCAGGGCAAGGGCTTGGCGGTCAGTTCCCTTCCAGAGAGGAAGTTGCACTGGTGAACGATGCAGATCAAGGCTGCTCAAGCAGATGCAGATTCTCTTGGCCCCCCTCGGCCTTAAATCGAGGCTCTGTGGGCATTGCCTGCTCAGAGGGGCCCACCCGGCCTCTCTTCCTTGCAGAGATGAAGCGTCAGGCCCTTCCAGGCTTTGGTGGACCCACAGAGGGGCCTGGGGAACGAGGGGCGGGCATGTCGTAACAGGGCATCTTCCCCTTTGGGTCGCCGCCCCTGTCAGCAGCTCCCCCTGGAAAGGGTCCTGAGCGTCTCATGACTCTCTGCCCGCACAGATCTGTCGCGGAACCGCTTTGCCGAAGTGCCCGAGGACGCCTGCCACTTGATGTCCCTGGAGGGGCTGAGCCTGTACCACAACTGCCTACGCAGCCTCCCTCCCGCCATCGCCAACCTCCAGGCCCTCACCTACTTGAACGTCAGGTACCCGGGGAAGGGGGGCAGCTGGCGGGCGGAGCAAAGGGCTGGGCGGGCTCTCGGGCGCAGCGGCCTTCACAGCCAGCCTTCCTCCCTCCCTCCCCTCAGCCGGAACCAGATCTCGGTCCTGCCCGCCTGCCTCTGCCACCTGCCCCTCAAGGTCCTCATTGCCAGCAACAACAAGCTGGCCGCCCTGCCGGAGGACATTGGCTCCCTCAGCAGCCTTCGGCAACTGGTGAGTCTGCCGGCCGCGGAGTGGGGTGAGTGGGAGGAAGGCCGAGGCAAGCCCAGGCCGGGCTCCAGGCTGGAAGCCAGAGAGAAGGAAGCTGCCCGAATCCTCCTGGCTGCAACACAGCAGGGAGCCCTCTTGGGGCTGTCCGGGGGTGGCGGTGGTGATAGGCCGGGCTAGATGAACGGGGCGTGGAGGGCTCTTCGGAGTGGCTGGCACGCCTGCGCCCTTCCTACCGGCAGTCTCTGCTTTTGGGGGGAGGGGGGGCAGGGGCTTCACTCGGTTCCCTTTGCCCCTCCCTGACCAGGATGTGAGCAGCAATGAGTTGCGGTCCCTCCCGGGGAGCATGGGAAGCCTGGAGTCTCTTCGGGATCTCAACATTCGCCGGAACCAGATCACCGTCCTGCCTGAAGGTCAGTGGGTCGGCCTGCCGGCCTCTCCGGGTCGAATCCCTTCTGCTGGGCAACTGGGCGCTGGCTGCCCCCGGAGCCCTTCCGAGTCCCCCCCCTTTCCCTCCGCAGAGTTGGCCGAGCTTCCGCTGGTGCGGCTGGATTTTTCCTGCAACCTGGTCACCCGCCTCCCGGTCTGCTTCCGTCTCCTGCGACACCTGCAGTGCATCCTTCTGGAGAACAACCCCTTGCAGTTCCCACCCGCTCAGGTAGGCAGCCGAGACGGCCAGGCCCCGGTTCCGTCTGGAGCCTCGGAAAGGATCTGTCCCTCGCGGCTGGGCTGCTCTTTGGCCGGCTGGACGAAGGCAGCCTGGAGGGCTTCGACCGGCCCTTGGAGAGCCCCTCCTCAGCCCAGCTGGCCGGGCCAGGGAGGACTGGCGGAGGGGCTGCTCGTTCCGGATCTGACGGGGTCCCGTTCCTGCAGGTCTGCCTGAAAGGCAAGATCCACATCTTCAAATACCTCAACACGGAGGCCTGCGGCAAAGGCAGGCCGGGCCTGGCGGAGCTTGCCCAGGGACGCCCCACCGGCTTTGGCACGTGGTAAGAGGCCGAGGGAGGCCCTGGAAGGGGCTGCCGGCCAGTGTGCCGGTTTTGGCCTCTGGTCGGAGGGAAGGGCCTTGGCGGTGGCCGGAGTCTCATTCTCGCTGCCGCCTCAGCTCCCGTCCTGCCTTTCAGCCTCCCGGAGGACTTCTACCCGGCCCGACAGTACGGGGGCCTCGACTCCGGCTTCAACAGCGTGGACAGCGGCAGCAAGCGGTGGTCGGGGAATGAGGTACGTCGTGGCCTGCAGGCCCGGTGGGTGGGGTCCCCTCGTCCTTTCCCCCTGCTGGTGGAGGGAGCCTGGCCGTGGCCAGGGCCGAACCGGGGGCCCCTCGGTCCGGCCCCTCCGTGACTGGGGGCCTCTCTCTCTTTCTCAGTCGACCGACGAGTTCTCCGACCTCTCCTTCCGCATTGCTGAGTTGGCCCGCGACCCCAAGCAGCTGAGGGAGCAGCGCGGAGGGGCAGGTGAGCGCGGGGGGTGGTGGTGCCAGCCTGGCCGTAACTGAGGGGGGCCGGAGAGAGGCCAGGCAGCTGGAGCCCAGTTTTTCCTCCCCCCCCCTTTCCAGGTGATGCTGGTGAACTGGAGCAAATTGACTACATTGACAGCAGTTTGAATGGGGAAGAGGAGGAGGAGGAGGAGGATCTCCTGGTGGAGGAAGAGGCGATGGGCCCCCCTCCGGCTGGGAGGGCCAGCAAGGCGTGGACCGGCCCCCCGGGGACGGCGTCCCAGGAGGTGAGGCAGCTGCCCTGGGGTCCCTCTCCCATGGCCCTCAAGGAAGCGGCTGGGGGCCTGTTCTGGGAGGCCATGGAAAGTACTCCGATTCCTGTGCTGGGCAAGATGGGTTCTTGGGGTGTGTGGGAGGGGGGCAGGCGGGAAATCTGCCCCTCTGCACTGACTCTCTCCTGTGCCCGTCTCCCGCAGGAGCCCCAGAAACCGGCCAGGATCCCTTCCCCGAGAGCGGGAGCTGCAGACCCAGGGCTGGCTGGCAGGTATGGGGACTCCCTGCCCAGCTGCGTGGCCTTGGGGGGGGCCCGTAGGAGGTGGGGCCCCTCCCAGCCCTCCTTGTCCCGGCCCTGCCCCTTCCCTGCCAGGAGGGGGCTGCCCTCCCTCCCTCCCTCCCTCCAGGAATTGTGGGGCCGGCCGCTCTTCTGCCTGCCCCCCTCGCCTGGCCGATCCTTGGCTCTGCAGACTGGGTGCTTTGGGGCGCCAGCGCTGGCTCGGCTTGGGGCCCGGCCGCAGAGCAGCTCCCCCCCACGGACTTGCTGCCTTCCTCCCCACTCTTCAGGAGCAGCAGCGGGGCTCCCCTCGCCAGGCCGGAGGTCTCACTGGAGGAGCGCCGTCGCCCTGAACTCCTGCTGCTGTGGCAGGAAAGGGAGCGCCAGCAGCAGCAGCAGCAGCAGCGGTGGAGCCAGGGGGCAGAGAGGCCGGACAGGTGGTCACCTGGGATGGGGGATGGGCATCTGCGGCTCCCGGGCAGGGGCTTCGCAGCCCTCCAGCGGGTGGAGTCGGTCCTTCCCCCAGTCTCCAGTCCGCAGAGCCCGTGTTGACTGGGAACGGGCGGTTGGCATCCTCTCCACAGGTCTTTGGGCACATGCAGGGGCAGCTGAAGCCGCCGTGCCTCCTGCTAGATGGCCAGATGCCCTCTGCCAGCCTTTCCACTCCAGGAAGTGCCCCTCCGACCTCTGGAAGGAATTGGCCCCCTCCCCATTTGCTCTCTCAAACCATTAAGGGCCTCATAGCTGGCTCCAGCCCCCTCCAGGATTGGGGGGGCTGCAGGAGCAAATGGGGGGACTCTGGACCTCTTGTGCAAGGGCCGTTCTCTGCCTCCCACCCCGTCCTCCCCCCCGGTTCCTCAGGAAGGGCTCCGATCCTTCCCAAAGGCCAGGGCTGGAGGGCTGACCCAGGGTCCCTGTGGGGGCTGGCTGGGTTCCTGTCCTGAGGGCGCCCCTTCCTTCCTTCCTTCCGCAGCGGCAGCAGCAGCCTGGCAGAGAAGGGCACTGGCCTCCCTCAGCCGAAGCTCCGTGCCCAGGTAGGAGTAACAACAAGGGCTGCCTTCGCCCCGGGGCTGCCCTCGAGGGGAACGTGGGGCCGGGCGGCAGGTGGAGGGAGCCGGCCGCTGGCTCAGCCCATTTTGGGAACCCCGGGCCTTGAGGAGAAGGCAGAAACGGTTTACTTTCGCCCTGCGTGTTTTAGAAAGTTTTCTGTGCTGTGTGAATTCAGCCAGAGGGTCTGGGTCTGTGTGGGTGGGACTGGTGCCGTGGATGCTGGGTCTCCTGGTAGCCCCACCACCGGCAGTCTCGGCAGCCGCCCGCTTGGGGTGCATGCTGTCCAGTGGGCAGAGGGCTCTGCACCCCATCTGAACGCCCTGGGCCCTGACCTCCTCCTCTTGTGTGGCCTTGCAGGGAGTCAGACAGCCGGCTGGTTCCCCCAGGCACAGTCCAGGCTCTGCAGGTAGGTCCCCCCCCCCAATTCCTCCTGATTCAGGAGCTGCGGGAGCTTCCCCCCCCCCTTCCTGGCTCTGTCCTGGTGGCCAGGGGGAGGAGGAGGGAGAAGCAGCCGGTTCCTTGGGTGGGTCGGGGGTCTGTTGTAAGGACTTGGCTCCGGGGGTGGCTCAGCCTGCCTCCCAGGCTCGCCCAGCGCAGGGTGTGCTTCCCCCTCGGGGGAGGCGGCACTACGTGGAACCCGGAAAGGGAGTCGGAAGGAGACGGCGAGGAAAGGCGGAGAGGAGACGCAGCTGGGCCCAATTCGCCCCAATTTCCCTCCGCGCCCCTCGCTCTTTGCAGCCGTCCGCCACACCCAGACGCTGCTTCCCATTTTTTTAAACTTCATTTTGTACTTTTGAGACTCTCAGAAGCTCCATTCAGGCGTTGCTTTTTCCGTTTTCCCCTTGGCCCACTCACTCTTTCTTATGCCTCTTTAGCCGTTCCTTCCTCCTTCCTTCCTTCTTTCTCTCTGTGCGAGCGAATGTCGTACGGAGCGCCTTTCCCGCGGGCCGCTCACTCCTGCATTCACTTCACACACACACACACATTCTTTGGACACGGGTGCATGTTGAGGGGTCCTTTCCCACCGGATTCAATTTGCGTAGTTCTGCTGACACCCCCAGCTTTCCCTTTCGTGCCCGCGTCTCTTTCCCCAGACGGCTCCTCAAAAGAGACCACAAACCGCCACGTGTCTGCCGGGAAACCTTAAAACGCCTCTGCCCTCCTGGCCCTTGTTAGCAAACCGCCTTCCAGGGTGCAGAGATTCATTGAATGGGTCCAGTTTGTGGCCCCTGCAGTCCTTCCCTGCCTGACACAATTCCCTCCGCTCTGTTGTTCCTCACAACTCTTTGTGTTCTCTTCCTTCTTCCTTTGATTTTATTACAGACCCCCTTTTTTGGCTACTGTGAGCCCACCCAGAGTTGTTTGATAAATTAAATAAAGGCCCTGATGCCCGCGCCCCGCCAACTAGGTCAGGGGTAGGCAACCTTGACCCCTTCTGCCCGTACAGACCCTCTGCTCTGCCAGAGCACCAGTCTTGCGCCCCGCGATGCCAGCTTGGCGCAGAGGCCCTCCAGCTTCCTCTTCCGCTCTTCGTCCCAAAAGAGCATCCAGCGCAGTTCGGGTGAGTGTTCGAGAGAAGGCAGGGCCGCGAGACTCTTCCCCGTGCCCGTTTGCAGGCCTGCCGGGGGGCCGTCTGGGCGGGTTGCAGGAACACGGAGGGGGCTTTGAGCCCCTCTTGACCGCGAAGTGGCTCCTTGGTGCCGGTGGGATCAGGAGGGGCCTTGGAAGGGGGCAGAGGAGAGAGTTAGGAAGTGAGAGGGGCAGGAAGAGGACGGCGTAGCGAGTGCGAGAGGGGTTTCTCTCAGCCTCCAAGACGGTTCTCAGGAATTCAGGAATGCTCAGGGTCCTGATTGCTGAGCCAAAGCGGGACCAGGAAGGGATCCGTTTTGCTCCAAGTGCAAAACCTGCTTCAAGTCCTGAAGGTCCAGATGACATTTCAAAGTGGCTGGCACAAACCTCCCTAATTCACTGGGGGGGGGAGGACATTGTAATCCAGGGGTATTCAAATTTGGCCCTTTGATGACTTGTGGACTTCAACTCCCAGAATTCCTCAGCCAGGCATGCGTCCGCAAGTCATCAAAGTTCCCTCACGCTGGCTGAGGAATTCTGGGAGTTGAAGTCCACAAGTCATCAAAGGCTCATAGTTCCCTCACGCTGGCTGAGGAATTCTGGGAGTTGAAGTCCACAAGTCATCAAAGGGTCCTAGTTCCCTCACGCTGGCTGAGGAATTCTGGGAGTTGAAGTCCACAAGTCATCAAAGGGTCATAGTTCCCTCACGCTGGCTGAGGAATTCTGGGAGTTCAAGTCCACAAGTCATAAGAGGGCCAAGTTTGAAGACTCCTGGTGTAATCCAACTTGCCAGATTCTGTTAGTTCAGCCACTTTCAGTAACGGCAGCTTTGGCTTTCCTGCGGGGTCTGGTCTGCCTGGTGGGGCTGAGAGGAGGCAGCCCTTGGAAGCTGGTTGCATCCTCAGTCAGCCTGTCAGGGCGATCCTCCCAAGGACCACAGCTCCCCAGAGACAAGCTTGCCCTTCCTGGGGGGAGGGGGGGGGCAGCCAGGCCCGGCATTATGGGCTTCCCTGAGCGCTACCGAACTGTCTTTCCAGACTCCCCACCTCCTGAGCTCAACAGCCCCTTGCAGTCCCGTGCTGGATCCCAGGCCCCAGGCGAGAGCGAGCTCCTTGGCCAGCTGCGCAAGGTAGGGGTTGCTGGCGGCTGTGCCCCGGCTAGGAGTTAGGGGGACACTTCTAAGCAAATGGCTTCCGTGTTGAGGTGGCAGCTGGAGGTTGGGGCGTCTCCCAAAGGGAGGGGAGGAGCTGCAGCTGGCACTCAAGCTGGGCATCCCGGCCTCAAAGGTAGCCGTCAGCCATCTCTTTCCCCTCCCCCCAGGCAATTGAGTCCCATCTGAACCTGACGCTGGCAGAGGACCTGGGTGAGGCCCTGGCTGATGGGGTCATCCTTTGCCAATTGGCAAACCGTCTGTGCCCACGCTCTGTGCCCTTCATCCACGTGCCCTCGCCTGCTGTGGTGAGCCTCTCTTTGGAAGCATGTGTGTGTGTGTGTGTGTGTGTGTGTGTGTGTTTGGGAGAACGGGTTTTATTCCTGCAGCAGGGCAGCCTTGGCTCCTGTGGCTGAAATTGGTTCTACCTGGGCGTCCCCTACCTGGGCCGCTGCTGCCTGGGCGTGCCTGGCAGGCTGAGCCTCCTCGCCGCCCTTGCCCACCGACTCTTCTCCTTTGCAACAGCCGAAGCTGAACCCCTCCAAAGGACGCAAGAACCTGCAGAGCTTCCTGGCCGCCTGTCGCCATCTTGGGATTCCTGAGGTGAGGCCGGATGGGGAGTCCCTGGGGGACCGTTCTAGGCCCCTCCCCTACCGTTTTGCCCAAGGCCTGCTCTCTCTCTCTCACCCTCCCCCCCAGCAAAAGCAGGCGTCTCCCCTGCCCCTCCTTGCTTCTGTTCCGTGTTCTCTTAACATTTACGTCTCCGTCTTTCTGTGCCTGTGTTCTCTCGCCTGCCGCAGGTGTCTCTCTGTGGTGCCCCAGACATTGCCCTCCTCCTGCAAGGCAACGTCCGCGGCTTCCTGTGCCTGCTGGAGGCCCTGCTGCTGCTGCTGCACCCAGCGGCAGGCGGGCCCCTCGCCCCCGCCGCCCTCTCGGGCCAGCTCGCCGGCTTTGGTGTCTTCTATGCCTGCGTCATGTTGCTGTTGTACTTTGCCTATTGCCAGCTGTGTGGCTTCTGCTGCTGCTGCTGAGTGGTCGGACGCTCGTCCCGATGGCCACCCGACTTGAGCAGGACCACCCGGCTCCCAGCAGCCCCTGCCTTTCCCACTCAGGGTGTGTCCCCCCCAGGGATTCCGGGCCCAGGCAGAACGTCTACGGAGGGTCTCGGTCACCCAGGCCATAGCAAGCTGCCCCTGGCTAGGGACATCTGTCCGCCGGTTTCAGGCCGTTCACCGCCATCCCAGCTTCGCTCAGCCAGGCCTTCGTTCTTCACGCGGCCGAACGGGTTGGGGCGGTGAAGAACCCCAGGCAATCACCGTCCCCTTCTCCAGCCGGGGTCTCCTGACCCCTCTGAGGCTTCTGGTCCTCCCATTTCAGACCCACGCCTGTGCCTTCTCCCCAGAACCTGGCGCCGTGGCCTTCTCTCCCCCGTGCCCCTTCGCCCCCTCCCCTTCCCAAGTGCCTCCTGGGGCAGGATGGCCATGGTGTGCCCCACCTGGCAACACAAAGGCCTCCGCCTGTTTTTGCCCCGCAGGAATTGAGCCGCCTTAAGCACAGCAACCCTGGATTTTAAGAGCAGCCCCCCTTTCCCAGTCCTTGTGGCTGAGAGCTGGTGCCTTTCCTGGCTTTTGCAAGGAGGGCTTCCTGCCTATTTTGCACTCGGAAACTGGGGCCTTTTGCTCAGTTCTTGGCAGGCGGGCTGTGCCCTTTCAAGGGCCGCGGGGCAGGTGGCCGTTGCGAGACCCGGGCACTCCCTTGCCGCAACAGCTGCCCGATCCTGGGGCAGACCAGGAGCCTCTTCCTTCCCAGGCCGCCTGTGCTGGAGTCCCCCGCCTGGGACCTTCTCTGGGTGAAGGGGGGAGCCCCCCGGCCTGGCACCACCAGCTCCTTTGGGGTTGGCGGGCTGGGCCCAGTTCTGTGGAAATGCCTTAATGGGAGGAGGCGGTTCCCCTTTCTGGCCCAGCCCCTCCCCCTCAGCCACGCTCCCCATCTTCTGCCTTAAATGTATGTTAAATTATATATATATATATTTTATACACGCAGCCACACAAACGTTATACATATATATATATATATATATTTGAAGATTCAAGAACTGTGGGAGATTGTGAAGATTTGTGTTTTTAACCACTTGTACCATATTGTAAATATTTTATTTATCGTCTTCCTCCACGCGGGAAGGAAGGAAGGACGGACTTGCAAGGGCTGCAGCTCCCCCTCTCCCTCCCCCCTCCCCGCAGATGCGTCTCTGTCTCCGCTGCGCCCCCCCTCGCTCGTGTATTTGTTGAAAAACGGCCAAAACACGGTTTTTTCCAAGCAGAACCGCCGCCTCGGCTCGCTTTCTTGCTCGTCGCCGCCGTCTTGTCCTCCTCCCCCGTGCTGGGGGGCTCGGGGCGAAACCCCTGACCGCCGCCTCCCTTCCCTTCCCTCCCCGCAGGCCGAGCTCTGCGGCCCCCGCGGCGCCGGCCCCCTGGACGACGAGGACCTGCCCGGCCTGGCCGCCACTGTGCGGGCGCTGCTGGCCGCCGACCGGAGGAGCGGGGCGCTCTAGGGCGGGGGGAGGGGGAGGGGAAGAGCCGGGCGCGGGGCACGCCGGGAACTGTGGTCCGCGCCGGAGCGAAGAGGAAGAGCGGCCTTCCGGCGCGGTGACGTCACCGGGGGCGCCGCGCAGTGGGCGGGGCCGAGGGCGGCGGCGGCGGCGAAGATGGCGGACCTGCTGGGCTCGATCCTGAGCTCCATGGAGCCGCCGCCCGGGCTGGACGACCGCGAGGCCCGGCGCGCCAGAGGTGGGTAGGGCAGGGGCGGGGGGGCTCCCGGGCGGGAGGGGGGCTTAGGGCCGTCGACGCCCCCTCCCTCCCCCACTGAGACCCCCCCCGCCGCCGCCCGCCCTTTTCTCCCCGCAGAGCAGAGCGCGCGGCTGCGGACGCTGCAGGAGCAGGAGAAGCGCCAGAAGGCCGCCTTCCGCAAGAGGGTCCGTCTCCCTCCCCCCCGGGGGGCGGGGGGCTTGGCTGGCTGGGGCGGGGGGCTTCCCGGCTGACGGCCCCTCTCCCTCCCCCCCCCGCAGATGGAGCGGGAGGTGTCGGCCTTCCTGCAGGAGAGCCCCGAGCCCCGCCGCCGCTTCCGCCCCATGAGCAAGATCGAGCGCAGCATCCTGTGAGTGGGGGGCGGGGGTAAGGNCGCGCTACGTGATGCTCTTCAAGAAGGCAAGGGACCCCTCCCCCCCTCTCCTCCCCTTCCCCCCCCGCGTGCGCCCCCCCCGCCCCGCCTGACCGGCCTCTCTTCTCTTCTCTCCCCCCCCTCCCCCAGGAGTTCGCGCCCTGCGATGAGGAGCTGGAGGCCTACCGCCGCGGGGAGGACTGGGACCCCCGGCAGGCCGAGGAGCGGCGCCGGGCCAAGGTGGGAGCGGGGAGAGGGCGGGGGCGGGGCAGGGGGCGACGGGGGCCCGGGCGGCGTCTGAGCGTCTCTCTCCCCCCCCCCCGGTTGCTCCCCAGGAAGCGGCGGCGCGGCGGGCGGCGGAGGAGGCGCTGCGCGGGCCGGCCGAGGTGACCCCCCCGAGCGACTACAAGGACAAGTACAGCCACCTGATCGGCCGGGTGGCCGCCAAGGACGCCGCCCAGGCCATGGAGGCCAACAAGGCCTACGGCTGTGGTGAGCGCAGGAGGGAGGCGGGGCGGCGGAGGGGTCGCGGGGGGGGGATCTGAGCCCCCCTGGAAGGCCTAACCCTCCCCTCCTGCCCCCCCCTGCAGTGCCGGTGGCCAACAAGCGGGACACGCGCTCCATCGAGGAGGCCATGAACGAGATCCGGGCCAAGAAGCGGCTGCGCCAGAGCGAGGAGGTGGCCAAGAGCTCCTAGGGGGGTCCCGGCCGCCCCCTCCGGCCCGGCTTGGGGGGCCGCCCCAGGGCTGCTCCCGTTCCGGGGGGGGGATCCGGTGGGGACGGGCGGGACTCCCTCCTCCTTCCTCTCCCTCTCTCCCCCCCCTCGAATACCGAAGTTCTATTTAGAATTGCTTTTTAACGCGGTAAAAAAGGCATTTTAAAGGCTCTTAGCCAAACGAGGAAAGGTTTCAACAGATGTACCCGGGGGTGGGTGGGTGGGCGGCTGTTGTTTGTGTGAATATGCATCCCCCACCCCCACAGTTGTCATTTTCTGCTGATTCAGCTCACTTTTCCAGCGTGGCATGTCGCTTTTGAGCCACGGAAGGAGTCCCCCCCGGCTTAGTTGTAGGGCTGCAGCCCCCTCAGCTCTGCCACCCAATTTCCCCCCTTCCATCCCACCCCCATCTTTGGGGCTGACCTCTGCCCTTCAGGCAGAATCACCTCCTGTCCCTGGAAGACCTGGAGCTTCCTTCTCCCAGAGCTTAGGGTTACCATCAGCCCTCCTTCCCCCCCCCTCCCGGTTGGCCAAGCACCCCGTTGTTTGGTGTTCACGGCTCAGTTGGACGTTGGTAGGAAACAGGCCAGCCAGAAAGTGGGGAGGCCGCTTGGCTTCCTCTGGGGCAGGGCAGGCATCCGGGCCTTCTTTCTTTGCTGGTCTCTGCTCCCTTTGAGTGACTTCAGCAAGTCTGTAAATAACGCTGGGTTTTTATTCCCTCCTCCCGCCCCCCCCCCATCCCTTTGTTTGGAGAGATGGTGGCCCAGAAGCCTGGTGGTAACATCTGGAGGGGGGTCCTGTATACGTCCCATTAAACTCTTCCTGTCAGTGCTGCCCTGTGCCCTGCCTCCAATTCTTTGGGACGAAGGGATGAGATTTTGTACTTTTGTTTGCACAGGCAAGAAAAACATCGTACCTCTAAATGAGTGGATAGCCAAGCCCCTTCGAATTAGGCAGTGGGTGCTGTGCACCGTGGGGTGGGGCTGAGCCCTCTGCTTCCTGGGCAGAGGGGGACAGGACCTGGGCTGTGGGTCTGGCTTAGCTGCCCTCCTATCTGCTCGCAGTGGGGATTCCGAGCTCGGCTTGGTGGAGGTGGGGCCCTTAGGCAGGTCTGAGAGGCACGCCAGGAAAGCGGGCACAGTGGGGGGGGGGGAGAGAGAGCCTGGTCAGCTTTTCTCAAGAACGACACACAACGTGCAAAGTAGTTGGCACAGCAGCCTTTCTATTCAGCCCCCCAGGGTGGAGTTGGGGCGATTCCACAGATCTTCTAGAGGTGACAAGAGACAGAGACGAGGCCTCGAAGGCCCCCACTGGGGTTGGGATCCGTTTTGGCAGGCAGGCGGGAGGTTCCTCTCAGCCTGGAGCGCTCACTTGGCCAGTGGGTGTCGGAATTTGCGCCCAGCAAACTGAGCTTTCTCACCCAGCTCTTCCTCGATCCTGTGGGAAGGCAGAGAGGCCGCCGGTCATTGGCAGCAGAGACACACACACATACACACACACACACCCCGAAGAGGATAGGGTGGCGTTGGGGGGGGGGGAGTCTGCTCTCCTCACCTCATCAGCTGGTTGTACTTGGCCAGGCGCTCCGAGCGGCAGGGGGCCCCGGTTTTGATCTGCAAAGGGAGGGATCATTTTAGGGGGAGGCCGAGTCCCCCAGGGGGCTGGAGGGAGAGGGAGGAGGGGCGGCTGGTCTCTCACCTGCCCAGTGCAGAGCCCCACCACCAGGTCGGCGATGAAGGTGTCCTCGGTCTCCCCAGAGCGGTGGCTCACCATGACCCCCCAGCCGTTGCTCTGGGCCAGCTTGCAGCTGGAAGCCGAGAGAAGGAAGCGCTTAAAGCAGGCAGGGGACCCCCAGGAGAGGACCCCCCCCATCCCACTTGGCCAGGGGACCGAGCCTTCAGCTTGTCTCCCTGTCCCCCGCCCACCACACCAGCGAGTGACTCACGCCTGGATGGACTCGGTGACGGAGCCGATCTGGTTGACCTTGAGGAGGAGGCAGTTGCAGGCCTTCTGCTCCACCGCCTGCTGGATCCGCTTGGGGTTGGTCACCGTCAGGTCGTCCCCCACAATCTGGATCTGCACCTGAGTCAGGAACTTCTTCCAGGTCTCCCAGTCGTCCTGGTCAAAGGGGTCCTCGATGGAGACCACTGCAACGAGGAGTCCCAAGTGTGTCGGGGAGTTGCACCCCAACGCGCTGACAGGCCCAGCGCCCCCCCCAAAAAGAGCCCCCCCCTCACCTGGGTAGTTCTTGATGAAGCTCTGGTAAAGCTCCCCCAGCTTCTCCCCAGAGATGTAGCGGTTGGGGTCGTCGGGAGACTTGAAGTCCAGGTCGTATTTGCCTTTGCGGAAGAACTCTGAGGCGGCCACGTCCATCCCAATGACGATCTTGTCCGGGTAGCCGGCCTTCTCGATGGCGCTCTTGAGCAGCTCCAGGGCTGTAGGGGGGAGGGGAAGCCGGTGGCTCAGCAAAACAAGCCCCTCCCACTATGAGCAAAGGGGGGGGGCTCTGGATCGGAGGACCCCCTGCCCTGTCTGCAAAGCTGGCTGCTGGCCAATGGCTGAATTCCGAAAAGAGGCCGAGTCTGAGCATCTCGGCTGTTTCCTTGCAGACGTGTCTTTACCCAAACTAGCTAACGTATCGGTGCCCTGATGATGTTCCCTAGTGTGGTGATGAAACGTCTGTGAGAGGAACTCCAAGCCCAGGGGCCCCCCACAAGCCCTCTCTTCCAAGAGGCAAAAAGTCAGTTGGTTTTTGAAATAGGAGGGTTAGGCCCGTATTTCCATGTGGCGAAGGAAGGACGACGAACGGGAATGATTTGCATGTGAGGAACAAACAAGGGACTAAGAATGAGCAGCCGCTCTGGACGCCGGGAGAGCCTTTTGGGGAGGGCAAACTGGGGGGGGGGGCAAATGGACAGGAGGAACCCAAAGGAAGGGGGCAAGTTGGTGGCTGCCAGTGAGAAATGGCCAAGGAGGTGCCGTGGGCTCTTGGTGGTTTTACAGCGGTGTCAGTAAATTCGTGAGGGACTGTTGTGTGCTGCTGATATTAAAAGACGTGTCCTCTCAAGATGTGATTGTACCTGCTTTTGTATGTAGGTGCTGTGTTGTTGGTTGGGAATGGGATGGACTGTGTTTGTGAACAGAAGCAAAGATTATTCTGCGGAAGAGAAGGCTCCCCCCCTTGTTAAGTGGAAGTTAAACCCGAGAATGTCCAGCCAGGCGGAGGGCTTCTTAGGGAGCGGAGAGGGCAGGCAGGAATTCCTCCGGAGGAATGTGGACTGCCTCCAAAATGTCAGGAGAGAAACACTTTGAAGGGATTTGATCGCTGGGAAGTGTGAAGATTGAGTTGCACAGGGGGTGTGTGTGAACAGGCAGGCAGGAAAGGGGAGAACAAGCCTGGCTAGATGGTGCCAAGGAGGCCCACAGAACGGGGGGGGGGGAGATCTGGAGGACCAAGGGAAGGCATGAAGCAAGCACAGAGCGGCATGGAGAGCAACAGGGATGTGTGTTTGCATGTGTGCGTGTGCCCTATTCACGCCTTGCGTGGCTCATTTGCTTGTGCTTTGCCTAAGGTGCCTTCCCGCAAAGCAAAGGGCGTAACAGGAACAAGATCAATGGTTGTATTGAATATCTGGGGGAGACGAGCCCAGCGCCAAGGCGGAGCCCGTCAATTTCTCCAGCCCCAGGGTGGAGTTTCCCTCCCATCAAGGGCCGCAGCTGAACGGAAAGACGATCGGGGCATAAAGGCTTGAAAAGAGTTCAGCTTTCCAGGACCGGATTAGTTGCACCCGAGGCGCCAAGGACTTGCTCACGGCACCCCGGGGGAGCAGGGGACGCCCCAGACAGAGTCCCAGGGATAGCGAATCTCCAAGATGCAGGGAAGGGCGGGGGCTCATTGGTCAGCCGGTCCAGCATCGGCTAGGGGAGCAGGGTTTGCCAAGGGCAACTGTGGCAGGCATGGTGACCTTTCCTAATTCCTTGCGACCGACCGGGACCTCCTTGCTAGAGGGTGGGGATGCTGCTGGCACAGCCTCTCTTGTTTTGAGCAAAGCCTTCCAAGATGAAGAAGGGCTGACGGAATTGAGGGCAGACGGAGCTGGTCTATTCAAGACGGTTTGTGTGTGTGTGTGGGGGGGTGTCCCTCATTCTGGAGATGATGATGAGGGTGATTCCATGATGGGGGAGGTTTAATCCCCTTCAGGATGGGCCCACCGGAGGCTGTCAGGGATGCTTTCAGCTGAATCCCTGCTGACACAGTGGGGTGGACCTCGTGACCTCTGGGAACCCTACCAGCTCTAGGATTCTGTCACCCTAATTGAAACCCAGGGGGAAAATATGGACTTCCTCTTTCTCCACCTACTCTGCTCCAGCAAAGGCTTTCCTAATTTTGATTGTTTAAATCGGGGTTGTGCAACCCTAAGGCCTGTGGACTTCCAACTCCCAGAATTCCCCAGCCACTGGTCTTGAAAGTTGCACACGCCTGGTTTACATTAGACTTTTTCTAACGGAATGTGGCTTATTTTTACAAATTAACTTTCTTGTAATGTTACAAACCATGAATTGCTTTTAGGGAACTTGTTTTAGGGGTGAAATCTTTTCTAAGTGCCCCTTGGGTGAAAGGGCAGGAGAGAGGCAGGGGGCTGGCCCACCTGACCCTCTTGGACATCTCCCCCCCCCCGCAGCTTGCAGCCCCCCCCACCAAGGCTCCAGTTACAGCCCACGAGGTAATTCCGCTCCTGCACGCAAAGGCCGAGGGGTGGGGGGGGGGTGAAACACAATCCTTGGGGACGGAGGTGGCAGCAGCGTCGTCCAGCTGACCGCAGCCTGTCCTGAGAGGGGGCAGCACCTGCCTCCCCACAGCCCCTCCCTCCGCAGCCCCCTCACCTTCATTGTTCTCCAGGATGTTGGGGGCGAAGCCGCCTTCGTCCCCCACGTTGGTGGCGTCCTTCCCGTACTTGTTCTTGATCACAGCTTTCAGATTGTGGTAGACCTCGGCCCCCACCCGCATGGCCTCCTTGAAGGTGCTGGCCCCCACCGGCAGGATCATGAACTCCTGCATGGCCAGCTTGTTCCCGGCGTGGGAGCCCCCGTTGATCACGTTGAAAGCCTGGGGGGGGGGGGAAGGAAGCAGATGCTGACCCCTCGGTCTACCCACGGAAGAGCTCCTGCGAAGCCTTCCCGCCCCCAGAGGGACCCCGAGAAGCTCAGGTCTTGCAGGAGCCCCGTTAGCTGAGGCTGCTGAGCGCCCCCCCCTTCCCCCGTCTGGCTGGGCCACTCACCGGCACCGGCAGGATCAGCTCCTTGTTCCCAGCAAGGTCCGCGATGTGGCGGTAGAGGGGGACCCCTTTCTCAGCCGCCCCAGCCTTGCACACGGCAAGGGAGACCCCCAGGATGGCGTTGGCCCCAAACTTGGCTGTGAAGGCAAAAGGGCCGGAGGTCAGCCCAGCCCAGCCTCTCAAGTGAGACTCCGCTGCTGCCGGGTGGGGTGGGGGGGAGACAAGGAGGGGGGGCTATGCTTACATTTGTTCTCCGTTCCGTCCAATTCAATCATGAACCGGTCGATCTTTTCCTGCTCAACAACGCTAATTTTCTGCCAGGGAAAGAAAAATGGATTATCTTCCGGAAACGATCCAATGTGGAGCCACAAAAAAAACGATGATCCCTGTTTTGTCCTTAAAATTTAGCAAAAATGTCCTTCCGGGGTGACTACAACCCTGCAGCGTTCCTCCCCCCCCACAGTCACCCAAAAGACTCTCCTGGAAGACAAAGAGCCCGTCCAGAAAAATTCTGCTCCAGGGCGGTCATCCCCCCCCCCAAATCAGCAAGGGCAGCTCTGAGGGGGGGGGGATACTTCTTTAGAACAGTCGGGGAGCCAAGGGAGAGCCCCTGAGCATGTGAGGCCTTGGAGGGAGGCAGCAGAGTCTTGGGGGGGCGCTCCAGGAACCCCCCCACCCACCCAAGGAGGGCTACTGCCCAAGACTGGCATGGTTCCTTCCCCGCCCACCAGACTCACCTTCTCAATCAGGGCTGGGGCGATTGTCTTGTTGATGTGCTCCACGGCCTTCAAAACCCCTGGGGGACAAGCAGCCAGCATTAAGGGGGGGGTGAGCAGGAGAGACTGCCCCCCCCAGTAGCATGCAGGAGGGCCAAGCAGAGGGAGGGATGTCCCACACCAAGCGGAGGGCAAACGCTGTTTCTGCCAGGGAGAACAGGCAGGGGATGCCCACCAAGGAGGCACCAGCCCCCCCCCCAGTCTTCCTTCTGCCTCCCCTGATAAGGGCAGCTTCATCCTGCCAGAGGCGCAGTTCCCTTCTTCCTTCCTCTGCCCGTCTCCCTGCATTCGTTTTCCCCCCAAGGGTGGGGGGCTGCCCAGCCCCACAGAAGCTTTGGAGAGGGGAATCTCGCCCCCTCCTGTTTCCCCCCTTACCTTTGCCCAGGTACCTGGCTTTGTCTCCATCCCGCAGCTCCAGGGCTTCATAGATGCCGGTGGAAGCCCCGCTGGGCACCGCAGCCCGGAAGCGACCTGCCCAAGAGAGACGGGGTCAGCAGGCCCCAGGCCCACCTGTTGCAAGGGGGGGCAGCCACGCCTCCTCCCTGGCTCTTCTGGTTACCTTTGGCCGTGTGCAGGTCCACCTCCACCGTCGGGTTTCCCCGGGAGTCGAGGATTTCACGGGCATGGATCTTCTGGATCGACATCCTGTGGGGCGAAGGAGGGCATGAGTGCGGGTCGAGCCCCTTCAGCTGCCCACCCACCCCCGTTCCTGCCGAGCCTCGGTGCTTCTGCTGATGGGTGGCTGGTGGTCTGGGGGGGGGTGGACGGAAGGGCACAGCTGCCAAGACTAATAGAGTCTCCTCCTGCCCAGCCCGGTGAGACCCCCAGGGGCAGCTGCTGGTCCCAAGGAGGGTCTCTGTGGTACCCCAAAAGAGGAGGCAGCTCCGGAAAGGCCCCACCGGGGGATGTGGAAGACCTGCAGGCTGACCCACACCCTGGAGAAGCCAGAAACGGGGATCCAAAGACCGGGGGGGGGCTTTCTCTGGGTGGCTCCCAAATGATGTCCGCACAGCCAGGAATTACGCTCCCCCCCCCCCGCTCAACAGAGGTGAGGGCCGGTCCCTGTCCAGCTATTCACCCCCCCAACCCCCGCTGGAGAGACCGCAGGGCAGGCGGGGGCTGCTGGCTGCAGAGCTGCCCCTCCTGCCCCCCCCCGCCCTGCTCCGGGGGCTCACTTGCGCGGGATCGGGGCTGGCTGCACCGGAGTTGCTGGCAGTGGCGGGGGCGACGGGGACCGGCCGGCGGCCTTTATGTGCTCCGCCAGGCCCGCCCCCGCGGCCGCCGCTTAGGGACCGTCGGCAAAGGGCGGACGGACGGCGGCCAAAGGCCGGGCGAGGCTCCCCTGCCCAAAGGCGGCCGACTCCCGAGCAGCCCGGGCGGAGCAGCCCGCCTTGCCCACCCCGGCCCTTCGGCTGCGGCGCCGGCGCTTCACGGGACTGCCCTGCTGGGGGTCAGCCGAGGCCCGCGGGGCGTCGGGGAAGCGGCGGCTGCCTCGGCCGGGCCGGGGGCTCCTCGGAGGGCCGCTGCCGTCCGGCCACTTCGCGCCGGTCCCTGGGCGCCCGGCCAGCGTCTTGGCCTAAATTTAGCCCCGCTAAAGGTCGCCGGGTCCCTCCAAGCAGCCGCCGAAAGGACAGGCGGCAACTTGAGGAGCCCGCGGCCGCTCAGCTTTCAGCCCGGAATGCCCCCCGCCGTCCCCCCCCCTCCCCGCGGATGGGGACAGCCGGGGGGGGCCGGTAGACCGAAGGGGGAGCTGCACCGGCCGCGTTTCCGCCTGTCCGGGGCAGAGAACCGAAGGCGCCCTTCGTGGAAGGCAAAGGAAAGGGGGGCAGGGGGCACAGCAACGTGGGGGGGGCGGCAGAGGGAAAAAACATGGGGGGTCGGGTGGCTCCGCCCCGACTTGAAGGGCATCGGCTTCGGCTTGGATTGAAGTTACTGCTGGGGGGGGCATTTTGGGGGGTCTTCTGGATTGGGGGGGTGGGCAAATTTGCAATGCTCTGTCCAAGTTGCAGAATTGCAAATTGGGAGTGGATCTCTTGAGTCTGTATTCCTCTTATTGTCTCCCCCCGCCCCCGAGAGCATCGCCCTGTTGAGCAGCTGCCTGTCCCTGCTGGCACCTGTTCAGCTTGACAAGAAAGCCAGGGCCCCTTTCACGCCTCCCCGTCAAGCGAGCCCCCCCCTCCCCGTTTACCCCGGTTGGGATCCGTTCTGGGCCTCCCGGCGCAGCTCAGATCTGTGGGAATCTTCTCAGCCCCCCCCCCCACTCAAAAGAGGCCGAAGGGGGCCAAGGCAGAGCAGGACGATTCCGTTACGAGAGGCCTTCGCTTACGAGTGCACCGTCGTTTTGTACGTTACATGTTTCATTTCAGCTTTTTCAAATTGTGTTATCTCACATGAATGGAACTGTTTGAGTCCTTTAGGACTGGGCTGCTTTAAAAAACGAGTTAAATAAAATAAGTGTAATTCTTAATAACCCTCCCTGGCATCCAGCTGGTTTGGCGCAAGATGACCGGCAGCCATCAGTTTCCTCACTGTGGCCCCTGCCCCTGAAACTGGGGGTGACTTTGGTGCTAACTTGGGGTGGGCCTGGCAGAGCCGGGTGGGGGGGATGGCCAGAGGGAGAGTCTCCCCCCACCCCTGCAGCTGAAGAAAGCCCCACTGGCTGACCCGGCCAGCTCAACCAGGGCAGCCCCAGTCAGGAGGCCAAGACGGGGCAAGCAACGGGGAGGGGGGCCAGCCCACCCTGTGCCCGACCTTCTCAGGCATTACCCAAAAAGTCGCTGAGCCTCTGACATCTGGAAAAGAACCAGATGCAGATGCCGCCCAGGCATGGGAGGAGCAAAGTGCCCCTGGAGCCCCGCCCCGTCCTTCCCGGCACCATCACACTGCCCGGCATCCACCGCTAGGGGGCAGCCACTGCCGCACCAGCCAAGCCCCTTGCCCAGCCATTCGGCTCCTCCTGCCTGGGGCAATGCGGCCTGTGCCCACGGTGGCCTCTGCCCTGGCATCGCCTGCCTGGGTCAAATCCCCCCTTGGACGCTTCTAGGTTGCAAGCTTTGGGGTGCATCTCATCCCCCCCCCCTTCTGTATGCGGCTCCTGAAACTTAGTTTGGTGACGGAGTTCCCCGTGTGCCTAAAATCCGAGGACAGAGAAACGGTAGGGAATTTCCAAAGCTGAACATTTAATTAATGCTCCCTGCTAGAGCTGCTGTTTGTGCTCTTACTTCGCGTTGGATTTTCGCTCTTGGCTTCCTTTCTTCGGTTAAAAAGAGCCGCATTCATTTATTTTGGGCTGCTAAAAAGGCCTGCTGGCTGCCTCTGTGCCTCCTGAGCAGGGGCTCCACGTGCCCTTAAGACTCAAGGCCCAGGCAGGCAGCCCATGGCTCGGTGCCAACGCCCACCCACTCCCGCCGGCTCTTCTAAGCAAACCGACCACAGGCATGTCAAAAGTTCCTGCATGATTCAGAGCCTGGCACTTTCTAGAAGGAACCGCTTTGGAGGCTGACCTGGGGATCTGTTCCTGTTCTTTGGGCCCCTTCCGAGGCTCCGTCCGGTTCCCTTGCAACACTCACCTGCTGGGCTTTGTGGTCCTTGGCCCTTCCGCTCTTCTTCCCCTTTTCGGCTGCCCCTCCCAGCAGCCCTTGAGGCCTGCACGTGAAGCCTCCCAGGATCAGCTGTGGCCCCATCCTAGCCCCCATTGTGACATTTCAGCCCTTGCCCCCCCCATTGCTAGGACACCACTGCAGCAGTTGCAGCTGCTCCTCTGGGGTCCCCATATCCCCCAGACCCCAGTCCGCTTCCTGGCCTTCTTGAGTTCTGGGTCCCCTCCTCCTCCCTCCCCCCTTTTTCAGCAAGGAGGCCAGTCCCCCGCAGCCCCACCAAACACCAGGATTTGAACCCAGGCAGTCCACGCACCAGCAGGCTGGGGAATGGGGCTGTCAGCTGGCAGTGGGGCCAGCCTGGCAGCCAGAGAGGGGCAGAGTCGGCCTCTTTCCTGCTGCCACCGCCTCAGTGCCCACCGTGCCCTTCTCCAGCTGGCCAATGGGCACCAGCAGATTGAAGGGCTTCTGCCCCCCAGGAAGGGGTGTCTCCACGTTCGCCTCCAGTGGGGGGGGGCTGTTGGGTTTTGACATTTTGAAATGCTGCTCCAAAGCCAAGCAGCTAAACGGAAGTGTGCCTCTAACACAGCTAGAGTGCAGCAACTTGTGGTTTTTATCTAGGAGGCAACATTTTGTGAACGCTGCTTGTTCATTTCCAGCAAGACTGGGTGGAAAAGTCCAGAACTGCACCCCAGATCTCACCCTTGGCGGTTGCAGCCCTCTTCCCTGGACGGGCACAACCGTCTTGTGCCCGGAGAAGAAACACGCCGGGCTGCACTCAGGCCTCCCCCTAACCAGGTTTGCTCAGTCCCCATTTCTTAATAAAGCCAGGATCAAGTCCAGTTCGGACACCTTGTAATGTTAAGACTGCCAATCAAGGGGAACGTATGTAGCTTAGAGTTGAACCAAGGGCCCCTTGGTGCTCTTTGAGCTGTGTCCGTCCCCCCCCCAGCAGACGTTTTATGACCCAGCAGGGTAACATCATCAGTGATAGGGAATGCTAATGCTAGCTCTGAGGATGTTACCTAGTTTGGGTCATCAAACATCTGCAAGACAACAACCAGCTCAGGGCGCACAAGGACGCCGGAGTTAGGACCGCCCAGGCCGCTGGCAGACCTCGCAGGGGCGATGGCCCACCGTGGTTTTCTCAGGTAGGTAGGCAGTCGAGGGGGGGGGGGCAAGGGGGTTGCTGGCCTAGACACCTCTGATAATGCAGTGGGGCGCCTGGATCCCGGGAAGGCCAAACCCGGGGATTCTGGTCCTGCAGATTAGCAGAGCAGGACCGGAGGGGCTGCAGGCAACCTCTGACCTGCCACCCAGACGAACTCAGGGCTCCAAGGAAGCCTCCAGACTGGCAGCAAAATGCCCCCCGAATTGTGTGGGGAGGACCTTTGCCAGCCAGCCAGGACCAGCCCGGCAGTGGCAGACAAAGCAGCTGCCTCTCGCGGTTCCTTCTGCCCCGGCTGAGGGTCTGAGCAACCTTCTCCAACTGGTGCCCTCCACTCACGGGCTGGGGAGGGGGTTCCCCTGGGGGGAGGAGGAAACAAGCCCCCCAACAGAACCAAGCTGTGTTTCTCAGCTCCCCCCCAAAAAGCTGAAAGGGGCAGCCGCAAGTGGGGCTTACCCAGAGAAAGTGGGTGGTGGGGATCACACCGGCTGAGACCCTTTCTGGCCAGGGACCCCCAGAAAAGGATGCTCGTTGCACCCTCCCAGGCGCTCCCCCCATACGTTCCCCCCCCCGGCGGGAGGCTCTGGCGATGCCCGCCCCCCCCCCCGCACACACAGAGAAGGTGAAACTTTGCGGGGCCGCCTCCAGCCTCCGGGCGCCTTTTCCAACGCCGGGAACCCCCCCCTCCCCGTTTCCATTCGGGCAACCGGGGTGAGCCGAGACGGGGCGGGCGGGAAAACCGGCTCCGACGTCACCCTGACTCGTGCGCGAGGCGAGACACGCGTGGGCCTGCGCGCTTTCCACGGCCGCGGGAGAACCGGACGGCTCGCTGCCCCCTCCGCAGGCCCGGCCCTCTCCCCCCTCCTCTTCCGGAGCTGGGGCCTTTCGCCCCTCCGCCGCCAGTCCGCCACGGGGAGAGGGAACCGGGCAAGGCTCCGCTACGGCTCACGGACGAGTGAAGGGGGTCGGAGCTCGCGGGGGGGGTCGGGGGCTGCGGGTCCCCCTTTGTACTCGGAGACGCTGGCGCCCCCTCCCCCTCCCCCCGTTGCCGCGCTCGCCCGCGCCGGGGAGCGCCAGGAATGAAGGGGAGGAGCGCCTGCGCGGCCCCGCCCTCCCCTCCGTTTCCTCCTCCTCCTCCTCCTCGTCCTCCTGGTCGGGCGCTCGCCTCCTCCAGTCCTCGGCGCAGTCCGCTCCCGAGTTGCTCCCCGACGCCTCGCTCGGCGCGCCAGGAAAGCCCCACGGAGACCCCCGCCGGCCTCGCGCCTCCTCCGCTGCCTCCGCCGCCGCCGCCCGGCCCCGCGCCCGCCTCCGCCTCCGCCGCCTCGCCCCGCTCCTCCGGCGCCCGAGCCGTGTGCGCGTCGCTGCGGCCATGAGCGGCTGGAGCTGCTACATCGACAGCCTGATGGCGGACAACACCTGCCAGGACGCGGCCATCGTGGGCTACAAGGACGCGCCCTCCGTCTGGGCCGCCGCCCCGGGCANGGGCGAATCGGAGCCCCAGGCCGCGCCGCCCTCGCGGCCGGGCCTTCGCGGACGGCCCCCGCCCTCCCCTCCCCCCGCCCCGGTGCCACGTCCCCAGGCCCGCGGCTCGGCCCTCGAGGGGCGCCTGCTCCCGGTCTCCGCGTGGCGGGGCGGCGGAGAAGCCGGGGAGCCCCGCGGCCCTCTCCCCCCGGGCGGCGCCAGCCGAGGAAAGGGCGGCCGGGAGGCTCCCCCACCCGGCCTAGCGGAAGGGCGCCCGGGGGGAGGGGAGGCCGGAAGCGCCGCGTTCTCCGCTTCTCGGGCGACTCTGGAGCTACGAGCCGCCTCGGGGGGGCAGCGGGGAGGGTTCAGCCCGAGTCCGGCCTTGCAACCGCGCGGAGAGGGGCCTGGCGGGGGTCCCGGGCCGGACAGCTGGACGGCCTGGCTGCCCCAGGGCCGCGGGGGGGGGAGGGGAAGCGGCCCTCCTGTCCGGGAAGTCCCTCCGCGTGGGGGCTTTCCGCCCCCTCCGGCCCCCTTTGCTCTCTCCGGATGGGGCCCAGCAGGCCCGCCGAGTCTCCCCGGCCCAAAGCCGGGCTCGCTCGGGGCGGGAGGGCCGGTTCCGTGCGGGCCTTTTTGCCTTGCGCTTCCGGGCCGGCCTTCCTGGCCCCGGGGCCGCTTGAGGGGAAGCCGGATGGCCGTCCGCCTGCCAGCCGTCCGGCCTCCTGTCCCGGCAGCCCGGAGCCGGGGCGCTTTGTGTCGGGCGCGAGTCTGGGGCAGCGCAAGGCAGGAAGCCGCTGCTTCCGACGGGGGGGTCCGCCTTCCGGGCAGAGGGGGGGCCGCGATCCGTCTGGGACCCGGGGCTGCTGGGGGGGCTGCTCCCCTAAGGGGAGCCGGGGGGCTCCCGGGCCTTCGGAGCTGTTTCCTGGGGCCCGAAACGTTGCCCGCCGCTTCTGCTTCCCGGCAGGGGGAGGGCCCGGCTGAGGAAGTCAAGCCGCCTTGGGCGGAGGCCGGCTGGGCTGGAGGCTCTGGGGCTCTCGGGCTCCCCTAAGCCCCCCCCGGATTGCAGGGGGCCCGGGGCGGGGGCGGCAGCCTCGGCGACTGAGCCCCGCCTGCTTCCCTCCTGCAGCCGGCGGAAGTGAGCGTGCTGGTGGGGAAGGACCGCAGCAACCTCTTCGTGAACGGGCTGACGCTGGGCGGGCAGAAGTGCTCCGTCATCCGGGACAGCCTGCACATGGACGGGGAGAGCACCATGGACCTGCGGACAAAGAGCACCGGCGGGGCCCCCACCTACAACATCACCGCCGCCATGACCAACAAGAGTGAGTCAGAGGGGGGGAGGGGCAGGTCGCTCGCAGCTGCCCAACTTTCCCCGCGGGGAGGGGCCGCATTCCTTCCCTGCCCGGCAGCTGTGAGGGGCTCCTGGGTCCCTGGGCCGCTTGGGTGGGGGGGTGGCAGGGGAGCGGACAGCTGTGGCTTCAGCCAGCCCCCGCCACAGATAAGGCAGCCCCCGTCTTCAGCCCCAGAAGGGGCATAATCTGGCTCAAGACCAGCCCGTGGGGGGGGGCAGAGGAGCATGGGCCATCCTGACCCAGAATCTTCCCGTGCACTGTAGCTGGCCAGACCCCCTTGGCCCACCCCTCTTAACCAGTGCCCCATTCCAGACCCACAGCTGCCCCCCAACAGCCTGGATCTGTCTAGGTCTCTAAACCGCGAATGACTTCTTCTAATCTTCCTGTCCGCCCAATTTCTTTAACCCCCACCATAATCGCTGACCCCCCCATCCCATATTTGGCAGAGGGGGGGAGGAAGCTCCCCTTGGGGGGAGGAAGCTCTTGCCCCCAATTGTCTGGCTTTGCCACTGACCGCTTCTCTCTCCCTCCCCCCCCCCCCCCCCCCCCCCCCCCCCCCCCCCCCCCCCGCAGCAATCGTGCTCGTCATGGGCAAGGAGGGCGTCCACGGCGGCTGCATCAACAAGAAATGTTACGAGATGGCCAACCACTTGCGACGGTCGCAGTATTGACCCGCCTGCTGGTCCCATCTGTGGTACTACTGATGGAACGGTGTGAGGATGTCCAAGACGGCAGCGACCGCCCGGGGCGCCCGGCCTGGCCGCTGCGGGACCAACCCCGGCACACGATCGCCGCTTATTCCAACTTTTCCTGCTCACGGCCTCTCCTTCCTCCGCTTCTCCTGTTTTTTTCTAATGTCCCCACTCTGCCCCGAACCCCCCCTTCTGCCCTCGATTTCTTTTTTGCCATTTTTTTCTACCACAAATCCTTATTGCTGCCAAATTTTCTGGTTGTTACAAGGTGTAGCTTTTTTGACGAAGAAAACTATATTGGAACAAGAAAAAATAAAAAAACGAATTGAATTCTAACATGGAGTTTCTCTGAAAGCGGCGAGCGTGTCCCCCCCCCCTCCATCTCCGTCCCCTCGGACCTGCCCACCCCCCAAGCCCCAGAGAGCGGGCCTGGTTTCTGTGGGGAGAACAATGCTGAAGCAATCGGGCTGGGACAGAAGCCTGCTTGTTCGTGCAGACAATGGGGGAGCTGCCCTCCAGCCTCGGCCTGCCGAACAGGTCACCCTCTGTGGCCAGTTCAAAGTAGGGCCGGCCCCAGCCAGGAGCCAGAGGTGTTCAGCTCCCCGGCACCAGGACCTGCTGGGGTGGCGTTCCTGGCAAAGTGGGGGGGGGGGGCTTCTCTCTGCTGTTGACCTCACAGCCGTCCAGCAGCCATGCTTCTCCCAAATAAGCAGCCCGGCCAGGTGTGTGGCCACAGGCCCCGCCTTTCCTCCCATGCTCACTTCTGCTCTCCCCCCCCCCCCCCACACACACACACGCAGAGGGCTTTCTCTCCCAAGTTTGCTCAGACCAGTTTCATCTTTGGTTCATTTTTTGCTAAAAAAAGAAAAAAGGATGCAACTGAATGTAAATTGTATTTTTATTGATTGAGTGGCGGGCTGCCTGCTCCTTCCCTTGCTGTGCCCCTCCCCCGCTGTCCTTTGGCAGAATCTGCCCAAATCAGCTGAAAGTCGCTAAAAGTAAAAATCCCTCAGGTGTTTGGCAGAAGACCCAGGTGGCAGCAGCATGATAGGGAGACTATTCACCCCCTTTTCTGAAGGGCTGCCCCCGGGGGGGGGGAAAGGGCTCGGTTGGCACATAACTGGTCCAGCCAAGGAAGCATAGAGGAAGCCAAGCCTGCCTGCGCAGCAACGGTTCAGGGCCCCCTACCCATCATCCCCCAGACTGTTAGGGACCTGCTCCAGGCCCTCCCGCTTGGCAGTGCACAGAGGAGTAGTGCAGGAGGAGGCCTGGACGGTGTCTGCGGAAGGGCTGGGGAACAGCCCAAAGAAGGGCGTCTGGCACCCAGGACGCTGCTCCACCTTGCCAAGCATCCTGCCAGGCTGGAGGGGGGGGGGTCTGGAAGGGAGGACCTGCTGCTTCTCTTGCGCCACGAAGACCCCGCATCTTCTACTCCACACCAAGGGGGGAGCGTGCAAGAACTAGGACCTTGCACCAGCCCTGCAAAGTTACAAAGCCTGGAAGCCGGACCGGGTGCAAAAGGACTCTCTTGCAGCCTTTCCCACCTGCGCCCGAGAGGAGGGGGTTTGCCAGCCCCCAGGAGGTGGGGCCACAAACCACCCGAGCCGGGGCGGTGGGCTAGACCAGCAGCTGGCTCTGTGAGTGAGGGCTGGGGGGCGGCTCCTCCCCACCCTCGGCCAGAAGCCCCTGGGGGCTGGAGGGGACCGACCGGGCCATGCTGCCAAAGCAGGGGGGGGCCACAGCTGTGCTGGGCGAGGGGCGCAACAAGGGGGTGCGCTCCGAATCCTCCTCTTCCTCCTCGTGCCCCAAGTCCGGTGCCCTCTCCTCGCTCTGGCCGGGCACGGTTGGGTCGGTGCCCTCCTCCTCCCCTTCCGAGTCCGAGTCCTCCGGGGAGCGGATCACCCGCTGCTTGCACACCGGGCAGGTCTTCTTGGTCTGGGTCAACCACGGGTCCACGCACTTGCAGTGATAGGCTGGAGGGGGGGTACAAAGGGGTCCAGGCTCACCCCCTTCCTCCCCTGCGTCGCCCCACCAGCCTTCCCGGCCGGGCCACGGGTCGTCAGCCAGCTGTTTGCCCGAGGAAAGCAGACGCCCAGCAACCTCTGGCTGGGCTGGACCCAGAGCCTGCCCCCCCCCCGCCTCACGCAGACCGACGGCCAGCCCTCGGCCGCATCTCACCGTGGGAGCAGGGCAGGATTCGCAGCCGGTCCCCATCTTCGTACTCTTCCAGGCAGATGGCGCAGACGTCATACTCGTCCCCTGGGAGGGGAAGACGGGGTGCATCAGCCCCCCCACAGCCATCTCATGTGCCCACAGCGCTCGCCTGCGCCCCTCGGTGGCCGGAGACTGGCGCAAGTGGGCCGGCTCCCTCCCTCCCTCGAGAGCGTGGGGGTCCCGGGCGGCTGCTCCCCCAAACGAGGCAGGGCGGGCGGGGGAGGGAGGGGCAGCCCCGCGGTCTCCGCCTGCCGCCCTTCCACGCACGTGGGCGCGCGAATCTGCGGGCCACGAAAACAGGAAGCCGGGCTGGGCGGCTCGCAGCGCCCGCGAAGGGAAGCGGTCGGAGGGCGCCTCGGCGGAGCTGCCAAAGAGCCGCGCGCCCGGCCTTATAAGGCAAGAGCTGCGCTGCGCTGGGCGGCCGCCGCTTCCTTCCTGCCGCCCGACGCCGCGGCCCCGCAGCCGCCCCGCCCCGCCCCCTTCTCCCGCGGAGGGCCGAGAGGCGGCGGCTGCAGCCCTCCCGCTGCCTCGCCGGACCGGGCCGAGATCGGGCGGGGCCTTCCGGGACGACGGTGCGCGGGAAGGAACGAGAGCGGGGACGGGGGGGGGGGGGCGGAGGCCGGCCTGGAGCAGCAGCAGCCCCGGAGCCCCCGGCCGCCCGCCCGGCCCTCCTGCCCCTCCACCCCCCGGCCAAGGCGGCGCTCGGGCGGTCTCCGGCCGGGAGGCTCCCGGCGCTGCTGCTGAAAGACCGGCAGGAAACGGCGGCGGTGGGGGGGGGGTCTCTGCCTCCGAGCGGGCATCCGTAAACCTCGCCTGGAGCGCGGGGCCCCGCGGCTTCCCTTGGCCCGGGCCCACGGAGGGTCTTCCACGGCTGGGGAAGGGGCGTTATTGGCGCCCCGAATTCAGCGGAGCAGAGAAGGGAGCGGCGTCTCTCTCTCCACCTGGAGCAGGAGGGAGCTGAGCGCGGGGGGGGGGCAAAGAAGCCCCTCCAGGCAGCTGATGCTCGCTCAAAGCCCACTCACCTCCCCCCCCCCCCCGCAGCCATACCAAAGATTTCTGGGCTCAAGATAAGAGGCTGGCACACAAAAGTGGTCAGCTTGAGAGGGGGGGCTATCCTGGCTCCCAGTCCTCCCCCCACCCAGGATGGGACAGGCCTGTCTCTGCACCCCCCTTGAGGCCAAAGTCTGGAAGATGCCAGCCGCTCCCCCAGGCTTGAAAAGGGAAGGAAGAAAATGCACGGGAGGGGAGGGGAGGGGGCAGGGGAAGCATTGCTGCAGTCAGGAAGGGGGGGCTGCTTCTGCTGCAGCGCATGGCCAGAGAGGAACGAGGGCAGCCAGGTGGGCCCCACTCTGGCTGGGTCAGCCAACTTCCCCTCAGCCCCCCCCCCAAGAGGTTATTTTGGGTGCCCAAGGTGAGTGGAGGAAGGCAGGTCCCCAGTCCCCCCCCCCTCACCTTTCTTGTACTTGTGCACAGGGATCTTTTTCAGCTGCTCCTTCGACAGCCGGTCCTTCCGCATCCTCTTCCGATGTTGGACACACCGAACAATCTGCCACACAGGAGCAGCTTTCCCAGATTCAAATCTTACTGGGGGGTTGCGGGAGGGGGGGGTTGAACACGCACACGGGCACAAATGCTAACGGGGGGGGGAGGGGGCTATTCTCAAAACACGGGGAAAGCAGAGCAGAAGCGAACCGTCTCTGGGAATGAGGAGCCGACAGGACCAGCTCAACATCCCACCTATCAACATCCCACCGAGTCCCCCGCCACCACCTGACCCAGGCGAGCTGCACGGGGCGCTGCCCTGCCCGCACTGGGCACCCCGAGTTTTACTGGGTGCAAAATCAAGAGCCAGGAACTGAGCTCCCCAACCCCCCTCGGGCCCCCCTCCCTGCCGGACCCCGGTGATCCCTCACCAGGATGGTGCACATCACGGCAATCACCACGCCCACCACGCCCGTGAAGGGGATGAGGTAGTAGCCCAGCGGGAAGATGTACTCGGGGATCAGGACGACGTGGCCCCTGCAGAGGAAGGGGGGAGAAGCATTAGGCCCCCGGGGGAGCAGAGGGCAGAGATCCCCTCCCCCCTCCTCCTGGAAAGATTCCCAAGCAGATCCGGCCTCGGAAAAACGGTCCCGGCTGCATCACAGAGGCTGCCTACCCACGGCCAGGCCCTGGGGTTGGGGGGGGGCTCCCCATAAAGGCTGCAAGGAGGGTTGGGAGTTTGAGGGGAGGAATTGAGGCCACAGCCTGAATTGTCCACAGAGGATGCCGACATTCAGAGACGCAGGAACTGAAACGGCTCCTTTCACAAATTACACCCCCACCCCACCCCAGCCAGAAGACCCCAAGCTGCAGGGAACCACACAGCCCTTCGCATCTGCACAATTTTCTAAGTTTTACGTTGCAGCCACCGTGGCTGAATCCACCCGAGTGCCGTCTGCCAGCGCCTTTATTCTTTGCCCGTTCTTCCAGTGTCGGAACCCCGCGCTGAGCCCTGGCGCTTCCACACAGGCTGGGGGGCCAGAGTCAGGCCAGTTGTGGGGAGCCCATTCATTCTGGGCCCCCCAGTCCTTCCCAGGGCCTCCCGCCTCCACCTGTGCCGCGGGGCCTACCCTCTCTCGTAGGTGAAGAGGCTTCGCAGGTAGGTGGCTGCCGTTTCGCTCGTGAAGACGGAAGGGACCGTGATGCGCCTGCGCAGCTGGTCTGGAGAAGGAAGGGGGGCGGTCAGGGGGGGAAGGAGCCGGAGGGACCCCCCGAAGGCCCCGAGTGAAGCCACCTGCCTCCACTCACCATCCTCCCAGACCATGTTGAGCAGATCATCTGAGCCGACGTTGTGGACAATGACGGCCAGGAACCCGGCCTGCTGAGCATGGTAGACCTGCCAGGGGACATAAGGGGGGGGGCTGAGGCAGCTCCCCCAGCACCTCTTCTCCACAAGCCCCCCCCCCCAGGCTCTGCCCACATCTCCCTAGCCTGGGACTTTGGCTCGGCCAGTGCAGTGTAGAAACCCTGGCGAAGGGTCTCGCCCCCCCCCGGCTCCTCACCTTGACATCAAAGCTGCAGTTGTACCGCCGGACGAGGGCGATGAAGACGCTGCTGTTGGACGGAGGCGCCTCGAGGGGCAGGCAGGCGTTGGCCGGCCTGGCTTCCACCAGGAGACCCTGCAGGGGAGGCAGGCAGCTCAGGGAGGGGGGCAGGGAGGGAGGGAGGGAGGGCGGGGACACCTCTCCACCTGCCCAGATACCCACCACGAGTCCTTGCCGGGACAGTGGGTAGCCGAAAATGGCCGGCAGGTCAGAGAACTCCATGCTGGTGTTATGGTCCGACACCTGAGGAGGGAGGAGAACGTGAAAGGGGCGGAGTAGAGCAGGGAGGGAGCACGTCCAGTCACCCTTCAGGTGTGCTGGCTGCAGCCGTGGGCCCCTTCCACCCACTCAGCGGCCCCAGGCAGTCGACCTTGGGACACCACCCCCCCCCCACCCCCGTTGTTGCTGCAATCTCTCTTCTCTGCAGTTTGCAGGGTGCCAGCTGTTCAGGCAGCTGCAGCTTTGGGCGCCAACCAGCCCCTTCGTGGCAGGGAAGCAGCCCCCCCCCCCAGGTGGCAAAGCGGCCCCAACCCAGCCACAGGGAGGCCATCTTGCCGGCCAAGCTCTGCAAGGGCCCTGCCATGGTCCAAGCGCCCTCTAGTGGTGAGAGCCAGCGTTTCAGGAGGTGGCAGGGAAAGGGACCCCGGGCTGTGCTGGGTGGGCATGGGGGGGAGCTCACCGCGTGGATGTAGCCCTTTACGGCCGGCAGCTCCCACAACAGGCAGACTGGCAGGACGAGGACCGCAGCGGCTGGCAGGAGGTGCCTGGGTTGCATCCTGAAGCTGGGGGGGGGGCAGCCGGAGCTCCTAGGAGAAGGTGGCAGAGCCCGTCAGGCAACGACAGGGGCTGCCTCTTCCCCCCCCAGCTGACTCTCAGGCAGGGAGGTGCCCGCCAGACCAGCCGGGTTCTCAGCCCCACCAGGGACTAGCAGCACTGCTTATCCTGCTAGGCACTCTTGCCCGTGCGCCGCCTCCTCGTCCGCCTGAACTCACGAAGATCATGGACCCGCCAGCCCCCCGCCCAACGCTGCTGCCTGTTGCCCACGCGGCACAACAGAGACTGGCATTCAGCTCTGGCATGCCGGGAGCACACAGGACCTCCAGAGAAGTTGGCAAAGAACTGCTGACGGGCAAAAAAGACCTCCCAGTGCCAACCCGGTTGATGGAGGGAGGGAGGGGGGGAGGGCTCTGCCACAGATAGGACCAGCTCATGTGGCCTTTGGCCTCAGCTGCTCATCTAGGGTGGGCTCAGCAGCCCCCTCCCTCCTGGAGCCCCCCCTGGACCTTTTCTGCCCAGCAAAGTCTCTGAGGATTAACTCTGTGCTGCATCGGAAACTCCCTTCCTTCGGCCGATTCTGAAGGCCCCTCCGATTAGCCGAGCTTCCTCAGGGTCCAGCGGGCCCAGGGAAAGGGTCAGCCCTGTACAAAAGGCCGGGGGCCATGTGGTGCCCTCCCCCCGAGTTGCTCCCTGCTTCTCAGTAGTCTGCTTGTTCCACACCCCCCCCCCAAGAGTCAGGATCAGCACTGCCCCTTCTAGAATTCAGGGCTGGAGCCGCATCTACTTCCCGCCTGGCTTCCTCCTTTGAGGGGCACCGGACACTAGAACCCTGGACACCCAACAAGCTCCCTTGGACGCTGGCAGGCCGGCTGCCAGGGGCTTTCCAGGGCAGCCAGGCCAAAGGAGGCCTTCCACTCATCATGCTAAATGGGATAGGCAACCTTGGCTCTTTTATGACTCGTGGACTCCAACTCCCAGAATTCCTCAGCCAGCATAGCTCAGCTTGGAAACCTCTCCCTTTCCCCTCAGCATGGCTGGCTCAGGAATTCTGGGAGTTGAAGTCCATAAAAGGGCCAAGGTTGCCTATCCCTGTGCTAAACCATGGTCCTGCTGCAGTACGGAGTATTAAGCCACAACTGGCTGGATTCGCACACAGACCCCCCAATCCAAATGAGCCGCAACATGGCTAGACGTCTCATGGAAGGAAGCGCCAATTGTCCCTGAGTTGGGGCGCGCATTCTGGGCGCTGAGGATGCCCAGGCCCATCCCAGGGAGGTTTCCTCCACCTCTCTGCTCAGCTCAGCCCCACAAGGAGGCAGGTTGGGGGTGGGCCTGCGCTCCACCTGGCCATCTAGGCGCATGGGGGGGGGAGCAGCTGAGAATGGGTCTCCGTTGCATAATCGCCTCCCCCCCAGCCCTTCTCTGGCCTTCCTGAAGAGGCTGGAGGAAGATTGTCCCTTAGCGGCTCACCTGCGCCTTCCCTGGACACTTTACTTGCCCAGGTTATGCCCCAGGGCCCCTCCGAGATCATCTGAACTACCCTGGACTGTGCCCCTCGCGTCTCAGCAAAGCACTTGACACCAGGGGTCCACCGGGGTTCGACGGGCCGTTCTGCTGAGTCAGCCGGCACTGCCTGCTCCTGCCTCTGCAGCCTCCCCCTCCGGGACGCCCCCTTTCCCTCTCCTCTGACCTCCCCCCCCCCCCGGTCAGCTGAAGGGTCTCCGCTCTCGGCTTTTCCTTCTGTTGCGGTGGGGGGGGGTCTTTGGGCCCAGGGTCCCCTCTGCTTGCTTTGAACTGACCGTCCCCTGATTCCTCCCCCTCCACCCTTGCAACGAGGCTGGGGACACCCCCCCTCTGTGGGGAGGACCGGGCTGCCCTACGGGGATCCACACCGGGGAAAGTTCCCAAAGCCCAAGGCTGAGCGCGGCCAAGCCAAGGGGGCGTCCTCCGGGGTGGGCAACGGGGGAGGGGTCCTGCCGTCCCGCCGAGCCCCTTCCTCCGGCCCGGGCCTTGCAGAGCCGAGGATCCCCCCGGCGGAGCCCCTTCTCGAGCAGCCGGGGCTCCGCTGGGCGGCCCTTCCCCGCCCCGCCCGGGGAGTCGGCGGCGCCGCCTAAGCCAGAAGAACCGGTTGGGGGGGAGGGGGGCCCTGGGGGGGGCTCTGCCCGTTCCTGCCTCCGCTGTGCCGCAGCCGCCCCCCCCACGGGACGGCTGCGTCCTCCGGGAAGGGGGCCCCGTGGCGGCCCCTGCTTGGGGGGGGCGAGCTTTGCCCGGCTGCCCCCCCCAGGAGCCCCCGGGAGGGTCTTCCTCCCCGGCCCCTCCCCCAGGGGCGACCCCTCCCCCGGACCCCGCCCCAAGGAGGGAGGCGCAGGGGGACTCGGGGGGGGGAGGCGACCCTTGCCCGGCTCGCCCCCGCCTCCCCCTCCGCCGCCTCGGCCGCGCCCGGGAAGGCTCAGAGACCCCCGGCGCCGCCCCCTCACCCGCCCGCGGAGGAGCCACGGCAGCCCCCCCGCCTGCCCCCCCGCCTCACCTTCCCGGAGGGGCGCCCGCCGCCCGCCGCTCTGTTTACAAGCCCTGCTCGCTCCGCGAAGATGCGGAGCTCTCGCGAGAGGCGAGCGGGGGCGGGGTAGACTCCTCCCGTCCTCCCGCGCCTGCGCAGCGGGAGGGGCGGGGCCCCGCGGGCGCGTGGGATGCCGAGCGTTGTAGTCCCGCTCCGTCCTTCCGCACTCGGCCCCGCCCCTGCCCTCCCCACGTGACTCCGCCGCAGCCGTCTCGGCGCCCCGGACTACGACGCCCATAATCCTCCGTGCTCCTCCGTTTCCCCCTCCCGGCCCCTCCGGTGCGCGCGCACCCCGGTCCGAGTCACCTTGATCCCGGCGCCAGCGGAGCCGGCATGGCGGCGTCGGGGCCGGGGAAGCCCAAGACCTCCCCCAAGTCGGTCAAGTTCCTCTTCGGCGGCCTGGCCGGGTGAGCGCCGCGCGCCGGGAGGGGCGGGGCGGCGGCGGTCCCGGGAGGAGCCCCTCCCCCCGCCCGGTGCGACCGCCGTCTCTCCCTCCCTCCCTCCCCCCCCCGCAGGATGGCGGCCACGGTGTTCGTGCAGCCGCTGGACCTGGTGAAGAACCGGATGCAGCTGAGCGGCGAGGGCGCCAAGACGCGCGAGTACCGGACCAGCCTGCACGCGGTGGGCAGCATCCTCCGCCAGGAGGGGCTGCGCGGCATCTACACCGGGTGGGTAGCGGGCGGGGGGCACGGACGGGCGGGGGGGGCGGGGCCGCGGGCGGGGGCTGACGGCTGCTCTCCTCCCCCCCCGCCCCCTGCAGGCTCTCGGCCGGGCTGCTCCGCCAGGCCACCTACACGACCACCCGGCTGGGCATCTACACCGTCCTCTTCGAGCGGCTGACGGGCGCCGACGGGACGCCCCCCAGCTTCCTGCTCAAGGCGCTCATCGGCATGACGGCCGGCGCCACCGGGGCCTTCGTGGGCACCCCCGCCGAGGTGGCCCTCATCCGCATGACCGCCGACGGCAGGTGCGTCCGGGGGACCGGCTGGGCGGGGGGGGGCGGGCCGGGCGGGGGGCGCCGTCGGCGGCAGCCGCTCCACTCTTTCCCTCCTCCCTTGCAGGCTGCCCCCCGAGCAGCGCCGCGGCTACAGCAACGTCTTCAACGCCCTCCTGCGCATCACCCGCGAGGAAGGCGTCCCCACGCTCTGGAGGGTAGGCGGCCCCGGGCGGGCCGGGGGGCTGGGATGGCCTGGGACGGGGAGGGAGCCCCGGTGGCCTCTTGGGGGCCCTGCCCGGTTCCTCCCCTCGCTGCTCACCCCCCCTCCCGGACCACCGTTGGCCCCCTGCCCCCCTCCCTGCGGGAGCCTAGCCCTGCCCTCTCGCCCCCCTTCTCTTCTGCCCTAGGGATGCGTGCCCACCATGGCCCGGGCGGTGGTTGTCAACGCAGCCCAGCTAGCCTCCTACTCCCAGTCGAAGCAGTTCCTCCTGGACTCGGGTAGGTGGGTGAAGGCTGAGACCCAGGAGCCTTTCCAGGGTCGGCCCTTTGGAGGGGGGTCCGTGTGCCCAGGCCGTCTTCGCCTGGCCGTAAGACTGGAGCCGGGGGTGCACCGAGAGGGGCTGATGGGGAATGTGTGTGTGTGTGTGTGTGCAGTGGTCCTGCAATAGCAGCAGCAGCAGCTTTGGGGAAGGCTCTTTGGGGGCTTCACGGTCTCCCCCCCCCCCGCTGTAGCTGAGCAGCCCCTCCCTCAGGCAAAGCTCCTGGGCAGAGGCTCGGCCCGGACAGTTGGCGCTGCCTGGGGTGGGTGCAGCAGCAACAGCCCCCCCTGCCTTTGCCTCACCTCCAGGGTACTTCCAAGACAACATCCTGTGCCACTTCTGTGCCAGCATGATTAGCGGGTTGGTGACGACGGCAGCCTCCATGCCCGTGGACATCGCCAAGACCAGGTGGGGCTCCTGGGGCATCTCACCCAGGGGGGTGTATTATGAAGTGGGGAGGGGGTGACAATCCCCCCCCAGGGAAATCTGCTAGAGCAGCGCATGCTGGCACGGTTGGGAAACTCTGCGCTAGGTGCCCCTCGGAAATCCTCGGTCGTCTTTCCTGACTGCGCCTGGGGCAGGGCTGGCTCTGGCTTGGCCACCGGGCACGGGGTCTGCAGCTGGCCCCCACTCCGGCTGAGCCCGTCCGTTGCCTCTTCTGCCTTTCTGCAGGATCCAGAACATGCGGATGATCGATGGGAAGCCCGAGTACCGGAATGGACTGGTGAGTGCGGTCAGCCTGTCCCGGGTGGCGCTTGCTGCGCTGGTTTGTGTCTGGGATAGAGCTGCAAACCTGCCTGTCACAATGGGGCTCCTCGTGAGTCAGGAAACAGCAGCAGCAACAGAGTCCCTGAGGCCTCTGAGACTCGCATCACGGAGGGGATCAGGAAGGACACACCTTTGGGGGGCCCCACGAGGAAATTGCTCCCTCCGTCCCCTGTTGGGATACACTCTTCAAAAGTTTGCATCCAGTCAGGTCCTCCTGCCCCAGAAACGGTGCCCGCAGAAGCCCCCCCAACCACCCTCAGGTGGGTCTCTGCAAGGCACCTTTCGTGGTGCCCCTCTGGGTCAGCTCTGAGAGAGGGTTCGGGGGGGGTAGAGGCTCCTGGCGCCCATCTGCTCTGAACTCAGGACCCCTCACCCTCCACAAGGGAAGGCCCTCCGGCCTCTGATGGTGCTTGCCCACCTCTGAAATCCCTCCCCCTGCCCGCTCCGTGGGATGCTTACGCTGGAGCCCGGCCCAATTCTGTTCTCTTATTCTACTACTCTGATCGCGTACCTCCATCCCGTCAAGTCCACAGAAAGTCTGGGATGATACAGGATCTCCTACCACAGGAGACCTCCGAGGTCCGTTCCAATCCCATTTTTCTATGTTTTAAATCCACCGGAAGAATCTACAATTTGGAAATTCAGTTTCTGTCGAGACAGCCTAAAACTGCTGGGCTGTTCAAGATGATTTTGGAGGTGCTGCCACCAAGCGCAGTCCTCCCCACCCCATACATTGGATTTCCTTTTTTTTTTCTTTTTCTTTTTTTGAGCAAAAAAAAAATGGTGTTAGCTTTAGCCTCTTTCTTCTGTAGGATGTTGACTACCTCAACCCTTTGCAAGTTTGATAAGTGTTGCCTCCGTCTTGTCGTGAATGAAAATATGGAGGAATTAATCCCAGGGCTGACCCTTGGGGTCCCCCTTTAATTGCCCTCCCGTTAAGGACGTTGCCCTGGAGGTTCTCTGGGGGACATTCGTGGCTGGCTGGCTGGCTTTGGCCCCAGGGGCCTTGGGGCTGCTCCAGTGCTTCCGCCAGGCCTTTCCCCGGCCGGTCTCCGGGTGAGGGAGCAGGACAGAACCTGCGAGATCCAGATAAGCCGGGGGGCGGGTCAGTGTAGCCAAGGCTCTCGGGAGCGGGGGGCGGCCTGGGGGGAGGGTGACGCAGGCGCTGTGTGTGCCTTACCTGTGTGTATTGCTTCTTTGTGGGGGAGGGGTCTGGTTGTGCAAGCCAGCCAAGGCAGGATGGCGGGTTGCTGGACTTTAGCAGGCCTTGGGGAGAAGCAAAGTCCTGGGGGGGGGGAAACGGGCACTGCGGGTGTTTGGTGGTGGGGCTCCAGGCCAGCTGTGCACGCCTGCTGTGGATGATCCTGGCTGGCTGCTGCACTGTCCTCCCCCCCCCAGGCTCAGACGGAGGGCTGCCTCTGCCAAAGATCTCCCAGGTGTTTTGTGGGGCAGCTGCGTGGTCCCTGTCCATTTTGGGGGGGAGGGGCTTTCCAAGAGGTTGGCTGCTTCCTTGTTCTGCTCATGCCCTTGGGGGGGCTTCTCTCTCTCCCCCCCCCACCCCTTTCAGGACGTGCTGGCGAAGGTTGTCCGCTACGAAGGCTTCTTCAGCCTCTGGAAGGGCTTCACGCCCTACTATGCCCGCCTCGGCCCCCACACCGTCCTGACCTTCATCTTTCTGGAGCAGATGAACAAGTTCTACGGGAAGTTCTTCCTGGGCACCTGAGGGGCACCGGCTCCCCCATGCCAGCACACACACACACACACACACACGGCCGAGGGCAGATGCGAGGCAAGGCCCCCTTCCCTCCTCCCACCAGTCCTAGAGCACGGACTGGCCCCTCCCAGGATGGGGAGGGGGTGGATGCTATTTATTGATGGAGGGGGCGTGCATGGGCCCTGGGCCCGCTGCAGGGTGGCTGCAGAGAAAGCAACCACCTCTCTTCTGCTTTGTACTGAGTAAAAGCAATCATGATCCGAATTGACTGCCCCTCCGAGACCTTCCGTGTGTTGTGGGGGGCCGGAGTGGGGGGGTGGGGCAGGAGGCGGAGGGCTCGACGAGTGTCGTCCTGGCCCCAGTGAACTCTCGGGGAGACCTTCAGTCCTGTCCTAGTGGGGCTCCTGAATTCCCAGTGCAGGCAGGGTCCCGCCTGGGGAGATCCCCCGTGTGCCCTCTGCACGTGGTCAGGGAGGCACAAGAGCGCAGCTGGGAGACGGCCGGCGCTCACCCGAGAAGGCAGCACCCCACAGCCGTACGGAGCCAGCCTGGCCTCCTTGCTCTGCCGGAAGACCCGTTCGGCAGGGCTGCCTTGTGTCCAGGCGGTGCTGGGGTGCTGCCCCCTCCCGGCTCCCATCCACACATCCCAGACACGAAGGACAGGCTGCAGAGCCCCACTGTCATCTGGGGGGGTGGGGGTCTTCCACCTCATCACAGAGTTCCTTGCAGCAACTTGGAAACGCATGGTGGGCCGGCCCTTGGGGGCCGCCTGGCCCTGGACACTCTCCGACTTGTTCTTATGACCTCCCTCTGGTCTCTACGGCTGCCGCCCCAGCAACCCAGGCAGCCAGGAGGTTTTTTGGGGGGGGCACGGGGGCAAAGGTGTTATCCAACGGCAACACGGCAAGGGAGCCTCCAGGTTCCGCACCCGCAAAGAGGACGTGGGATACGTGCAGAAGTGGAGAGAAGCAAATCAGGGCGTTTGCTCTGCAGAGGAAGATGGAGGCAGGGACGTCCAGCCCCTGCAGACTTTGGCCCCGTTGGATGTGGGCAGGGCTGCGGGCAGAGTGATAAGGTGGGAGAGACCCAGGAGGTAGTGAAGGCTGCCCTCGCAAGGTCCTTCCAAGCGGTGGCCCAGCTCTTCTGGGGGTCCTCCCGGGGGTCACCTGCTTGCCTTCTGGGCCTCTGGCTGAGGCCTGGCCAAAGAGACTGTCCTTGGCTGCCCTGTGGTCTGGGTTTCCCTGGGGGGGTGTGTTCTGTTCCCTGGGGGGGGGAGGCTGGTGCAGAGAAACCCAACAGACAGACTCCGGGAAGGGGAGAGAGGTCGAAGGCTCAAAGCTTTTATTCAGGCGCAGCAGGCGTGTGCAAGCTTCGGGGCCACACGGAGCCGTTCATGGCTGGGCAGCTTTGCAGGGGGGGGGGCTGCTGCTGGACCGCAGATGCCACGGGCTGAGAATCGGGCAGCCCCACACACTGAAGGTGGGGGGTGGGCCTCCTTTCGCATCCGGCCCAGCTGGCCAGAGGCTGGAGAGAAGCCCCTCGCCCTAGTGGGCTGGGGAGGGGACCTCGGGCACCTTGTTGAAGTGGCCCATGAAGAAGATGGCCAGGGTGCCGATGGTGAAGAGCAAGATGGCCAGCCAGAAGCAGAGCTTGTCCATCATCTGCCCGATCATCACCCAGTTCTCGATCTCCTGCGAGGGAGGGGGCCAAAGGTCAGACGGGCAGGGAGGGAGAGCGTGGAGGGGGGGGCAGCTTCTCTTGAGTTGGCCCCAGCCGACTCACCGCCCCGTTGGTGTTCTGACCCCTGGTGCTCTTGCTGATGAAGTTGCAGGCGTCCACACACTCCTTGATCTCCGGGGCCAGGCTGGAGAGGTTCTTGTACAGGAGGGTGGTCCTCTGCACGTCCAGCCCGCCTGGGGGGGAGGTGGGCAGAGGGGGGAGCGGGTGAGAAGGAAGGAAGCGCAGCCAATCCTCCGTCTCTCTCTTGCGCTTAGCACACCTGGCTGCAAGGCGCTCCGGTCTCCCTTCTCTGGAGCGAGTGCCAGCCTGGCCCTGGGCTCTGCCCACCTGTTGGCCGTTTGTCTCGGGCTGGCACAGAGCACGAGTGAGGAGCCAAGGCGGCCTTCGAGGGTGGCAGCTTCAGGCAAGGTCAAAGACCTCCGGTCAAGGCCAAGGTTGCCCGCTGCCCCCCTCCGCCCAAGTGTAGGGTTTCAAGCGCCTGGCGGGCGTCGGGGGTCCCCTCAGGCATGGGGAGAGCAGCTGTTGGGGCGAGAGCGGCGCAGCCCCCCCCCCTTGGCTGGCAGCCAGGCGGGGGGGCGGGAAGCGAGACGTCCCGAGGAGCCCTCCTGCTCCTGCCCCCCGCCCGCCTGCCCGCTGCCGCCGGTCCCGCACCGCAGTCGGGCGCCCTCTGCAGCCCGTGCCGCCGGCCCTGGTACTCGAAGAGGAGCTCGCTGCGCGCCACCCTCAGGATGCGCTCCTCGGCCTTGACCAAGACGGAGAAGGAGCTGTGCCGGCGCGGGCGGGGGGCGTCCTGGGACTCGTCGTCCGCGGGGCCGATGGTGGAGCCCAGGCAGCGCGGCAGGACCTTGAGGAAGAGCTGGGGGGGGAGCAGGAGGGGGGCGGTCAGGCCCCTCCTCTCTGCCCGAGCCGGACTCCCCCGTCCCCCCCCTAGGGTTGCCAGGTGTCCACTATTTGAGTGGACAGTCCACTTTTTTCACATTATGTTCACTATTTTTTTTCACAAAATAGTGGACATTTTTTTTTTATTCAAAAGCTTTATGATGAAATGGTACGTAATCTAAAGCTGTACAGTCTACTTTTTTTACTACTTAACCCCCCCACACCCCGCTTGTCCGCTATTTTTGGGAAGCAGACCTGGCAACCCTACCACCACCACCCCCGACCAAGCAGCCCGAAGCAGCCGCCGACTCCAGCGTGTTCCGGGGCCGGAGTCGGCCTCCGTGGTCGCGGGCCGGCGCCCTCCGCGGGCCGCGCGTGGCGACCCGGCGGGTGAACCGAAGCTGCCCCAAAAGTTCTCTCTCTGACGTGCCGGTGACACCTGGAGGATTTTCCGGGGTGCCCAAAGAAGCTGCCCCTACGGGACGGAGGGCCGGGGGGGGGGTCCTGCGGGATGGGGAAACGGAGGGAGGGGCTGCCTGACCTACCGAGGGGGCAAACACAAGGGCTGGAATTCGCCCTCCCGGATCGAACGTCTCGCCCGCCTCTTTGCCTTGTGCGGCAAGGGGGCGCTGGCCGAATCCGACCCCCCCCCCGCTGCCTTCCTTCTGCAGCCCCGGATTTCCTGCTGAGCTAGCTCAGAGGTGTCCAGCCTTGGCTGGCTGGGGAATTGTGGGAGTTGAAGTCTACAAGCCATAAAGTGGCCAGGGTTGCCCAGCCCTGATCTACCCTGGGGGCTGGCTGGGTCATCAGCGGGACTCCGGGCTCCACTCCGAAGTCTTAATCTTTGGCCTCCAGGGCTCCTAGGGCAGTGTTTTTCAACCTTGGAAACTTTAAGATGGGTGGACTTCAACTCCCAGAATTCCCCAGCCAGCAAAGCTGGCTGGGGAATTCTGGGAGTTGAAGTCCACCCCATCTTAAAGTTTCCAAGGTTGAAGAACACTGCCCTAGGGCATCCCTCGGCACTGATGACGCGCCAGCTTTAGAGCAGGTGCCCATATCCGCTTGGCCGTCACACCTGGCTTCAGCCAAACCATCCCAGCCTCACTTTCTGCCCAAGCAGCAGGCCGCCCTCCTCCCTGGCCCTGAGCCTTCCTCCCCCTCCTCCTCCTCCTCCTCCTCACGTGTTTGAGTCTGGGGGACAGGACGTGGGTGCTGGGGCTGCGCAGAGAGACGTTCAACACCACCACGCAGTTCATGACGATCAGCGTGGTCACCGTCATCACGAAGATCAGGTACCTGCGCCCAGAGGGAGAGAGGCAGCGGGTGGGCCGGGCCGTTTCCTGGGCCCGCCCCCCCCTCCGCGGGCTGGTAGCCACTCACTTGCCAATGAGGGGGACGCTGAGGGACGTGGCGGGCACCTTCTGGGCAATCAGGATGAGGAAGACGGTCTGGGCCAGCAGGACCGAGATGCTGATGGTGCACTTTTGGCCACCGGCTGCCAGGCAGAAATCTCATTGGTGAGGCTGCCCGGGGCCTCCCGATGCCCTTCCCTCTCTCCCCAACCCAGCAGCCCCCAACCCTTCCAGTCTGTGTGCCCCCAGCCCCCTTGCAGCAACTGCCCCCCCCACCCGCTCACCCTGGGCAGGCACGAAGTAGACCAGGACCACCAGGGAGGAGATGAGGACGCAGGGCACGATGATGTTGATGACGTAGAAGAGCGGCTTGCGCTGGATGATGAGGAAGTAGTGGATCTCGGAGAAGCCGGGCGCCTCCAGCCCGTCCAGGGGGGCCAGGATGCGGCGGGCGGGGCGGTGCTTGATGGCCCACTCCCCGTTCTCTGAAACAGAGGCCCTCCGGGCGTTCCAGCTGACGGCTCTGCACTGGGCTCCCCAGGGGCCCCCGAGGCCAGGGGCACCAAGAGGCCACTCTTCATGGAGCCCTCGCCCCTCCCCTCCCAGCTCAGTGTGCGGCCCCCTCCCCAGCTACCTGTGAAGGCCTCGTAATCAATCACCACCTCCTTCACTATCTTGTTGGTTTTCTCATCCACGCCGTACTCCAGCTCAATCTCTCGGGCGTTGTGGGTTTGGGACCTGGAGGGGCAGAAGACCCGGAGGCCGGGGGAAGGCCGCCCCCTCCTTCAGCACCCCTCCCCCCAGCCGCAGCAAGGAGGCCCGGATGACCCCCTGCCCAGAGCCCCGGGGCCGACCTGGGCCAGGTGCCCCTGACGCAGAGCCCATGACCCACCGGAAAACTAGGGAGCAGTTCTGCCAGTCAAAAGGGAAAAAGGTGACCTCTATGGGGCAGGAGCTGCGGAAGATGGCGGGGGGCAGCCAGTACACATTCCCCCCGGGGAAGATCAGGACGTTGGCGGAATAGGCCACCTCAAATTTGCCGTCAACGCTGAGGGGGAAAAGGGGATGTTAGGAGGAGGAAGACCCCTCCCTTTGGTAGCCTCCCCCCACCTCCTCCACTCACTTGTTCTCCAGGACGATGTCCGGCAGCCACACCAGTTCAGCTGGCACCCGAAGGGCCATGTCGTATTCCTCCTTGCTGAAGTTCAGCCGATAGTCCGTCCATTCCTGCAGCCACGAGGGGAAAGAGGCAGAGGTGACCCTCTCTGGCAGGGCAGACCCCCCCCCACTCTGGAATCCCCCCCCCAAAATGGGGTGGACTGAAATTCAGCCTGAGCTGTTGCTCCAGAGCAGCGAGGAAGGTCAAATGCCAGGGCTGCCCAGGTGGGAGATGAAGCCCCCCCCCCAGGGAGCCTCAAGTGGTGGGTGGCCAGTGGGCGTTCAGAATGGGGCAGATGCGGAGTCCCCCGGCGGGAGTCCTTGCCTGAGTGATCCAGACATTAGTGGTCAGCGTTTCCTCTTTGGCATTCTGGAGGAAGGAAGGGAGGAAGGAAGGAAGGAAGGAAGGAAGGAAGGAAGGAAGGAAGGGAGGGAGGGAGGGAGGGAGGGAGGAAGGAAGGAAGGAAGGAAGCGTTCACCACTCAATTCTCTTGAAGCCCCCTGGTCTCCCCTTCCCTCCAGGGGCGGGGAAAGGCCCCCCTACCAGGGAGATGAGGTTGGTGAGGGTCAGCCTCAAGTAGACCTTCAGCACTTCGCCCACCCTCTGTGCCGGCCACCGGGAGTTGTCATAGTTGGCAAAAAGGCGGTTGTACAGCTCAAGCTCCTTGTTGCCCTCTGGGGAGCCTGTGCGGGGAGTGGGGGGGGCACAGGATGAGGCCCCAGAGAGCAGCCCCACCACCCCAGGGCCAAGCGATGCCCTCTCCTTACCTAGGGCCGCCCAGCTGAGCAGAAGCCCCAGCCAGAAGCCCCAGGCCAGGCTGCCCACCGCCTCCATGGCCAGACCGAGAGACGCTTTGCGGAGGGGGAGAGTTATTTTGAGATTGCTCCTAGCTGGGGGGAGGGGGCACCGGATATCCTCCCCCCCCCAAGCATCAGAGGCATTCGCTTCCCAGGCTCTGGAGCACCTGTTGGCACATGCTTGGCATCCGTGGCAGAGCAGCTGGGGACGAAGGGCGACGCTCGGCTCTCCCCACACCACGGATCTGGCCTAAAGTCCCTTGGGGTCTTCTGCTGGGAGTGCCCCACAAGCAGCCTCCCTGCCCCAGGCTGGCCTCAGAGGGGACAGTGGGCCACAGCCCCACAGGAGATGGCAGCATGTGGCAGCATGTGGCCCCCCCCTGCACCCCAATGGCGAGCGCAAGGCCACCCTGGAACTGTTTGACAGGGAGAGCAAAGTGAGGCAGCTGCGATTCTTAACTGCAGAAAAATCCGAGAGAAGACTGGACGATCCACCCAAATCTGTCCCAAGCACCAGGGCAACGCATGAGGACTAGAGACTTGGAGGCACAAGCTCTCCCTCCTCTCCTCCAGCAACTCACGTCCAAAATCCAGAGACATCAGTTAGGACAATCGATGGAGCTGCAACTGGTCAAAAGCTTTGCCACCCAACGATCCATGGCAAAGGGGGGGGGAGAGGTTGTGGCCAGTAGACAGACATCTGTCCCAGGGCACAAAACCTGCTCAGCATTACACTCATTTATTCTCTGCATTTCCACAATGCACGGCAACACTTAAAACAGAATAACAGGCCTGGAAGGGACCTTGGAGGTCTTCTAGTCCACCACCACCCCTTGATCAAGCAGGAGAGCCTATACCAGGGGTAGGCAACCTTGGCTCTTTTATGACTCGTGGACTTCAACTCCCATAATTCCTGAGCCAGCATGGCTGGCTCAGGAATTCTGGGAGTTGAAGTCCACGAGTCCTAAAAGAGCCAAGGTTGCCTACCCCTGGCCTATACCATTTCAGACAAATGGCTGTCCAATCTCTTCCTAAAAATCTCCAGCGTTGTGGTCCAAAGGGCAGGACTGGGAAGTGTGTGTGGGGGGGTCCTTGAGCTGCAGGTTTAGCACAGGGGTAGGCAACCTTGGCTCTTTTAGGACTTTTGGACTTCAACTCCCAGAATTCCTGAGCCAGCATGGGGGAACTATGGCTCCCTTGAGGACTCGTGGACTTCAAAAGCCAAGGTTGCTTACCCCTGGCGTATGCATACAGATGAAGCCAGCGGTGTCCAGGGGGCCAGGATGGAGCTAGGAGGCAGGGTTCCCCTCTTCCAGAGATGGGGAGCTACTTCCTCCCCCCTCCAACTCACCAGGCCCACTGAGGCCATCAGGGCTCAACCTGGCCCAGAGGGATCCCTTCTCTGTGTTCAGACAAAATCACCTGCCCTTTGCCTGCAGCCTCTGTTTGGGGGTGCCCTCATGGCCAGGGAGCCCCAGAGTCTTCCCCACCAGGCATTCCCTGTGCTGGGGGGGGGCTCGGAGCCGGGTTTCGAGCTGGGGGGGGCAGAGTTCAAGGGACGGAAGGACTGGAAGGGCTGCATCTGGGCAGGCAGATAAAGCCCCCTCCTTCCCCCATAGCAGTGGCCTTATCTGGCTGCTGCGGGGAGGACAGGATGTGGCATTCGCACAACCATTGGGACCCAGCAGGGAGAGGCTGCAGGAGGACCGGCCTCCTTGCCCAAAGCCTCTGCCAGCCCGGCTGCCCCACCCAGGACCCCCCAAACAAACGGGCGAGGCTCGTAGGTGGGCACCGCCAGCATCACAGCACAGCCGGACTGCCGCCTGGAGCCTCAGCGCCCGCACGTCAGCTCCCCGTCGCGGCCAGGTCCGATCTGGTGCGAAGGGAAGAGGAAGAGGAGGAAGGCGGCAGGCGGAGAACACCTGCCCTGCAAGGTAGGCTGCCTAGAACAGGGGCAGGCAGGGAAGCTGGAGGGAGGTCGGACCAGAAACCCAGGAAAAGGGTCCCGGTGCCCCAGGCCGGGGCTGAGCGGGCCGGAAAGCTTTGGCCTGGCTGGGGGGGGGGCAAGCTTTGCCGCTTTGTGCAATGGGGGGTTTTGGGTGCCTGAACCTGGTCAGGGAGGGTCTTTTTTTCCGCTTAGGGATTCCTCTGGGGGGGGGCCAGGAGGGTGGCGGCTCCTTTCTCTCCTCCAACTGGCCGAGATCCTCCAGCGGTGAAATGGCCGGCCACGCTCACTTAAACCCAGGGAGGCTCCCGAGGGGGGGGCAGCCTCGCTTCCCTGCCTTCCTGCCCAGCATCTCCGTCTCCCCCCCCCCCCCGGGGCACAGGAGCCCCTGCCTGCCTGCCGGCCTCGGCTCTCGTCTCTCCTGGGCCCAGCCACATTTTTCTTAAATACATAGTGTAAAATTCCACTTTGCTGACTGGGAAAGATAAAATCGGTATTGTTTGGCCAATGATGTATTTACTCAAAGCTATTCCTCTGAAACGTTACACCACACCTAACTTGTTCAACCAGGTTGCTAATCTATTAAGATTTATTTTTATTTTTTTTAGGGCGAGGACAAGCCCCCCCCCTTTGCTGGATTTTCTTTAAGTTAGGATTCCAGCTCCTTCACCACGGCTCAGATGCCGAGCCCTCCGGTTTCATTTTGCAACATGACTCCCTTGGGCTCCAGGGGGCTGGCCACCCATAGCCAGCCCCATCCTCTGTCTGGGTCCCCTCAGAGAGCAGCAACCGGATGCCAGGCTCTGGGTTCAAATTCTCCCCAGAAACCAGAGCTTTGCACATCCTGGTGCTCAGCACTTGCGGGGAGGGATGTCACACAATTGATCAGGATGTTTCTCGACCGTGGCAGCTTGAAGGTGTCTGGATTTCAACTCCCAGAATTCCCCAGCCAGCACAGCACAAGTGTGATGTCTATAACGTGAGGCAGGTATTGAATGCAGGTGTTCAAAATTATGGGCCTGATTAGGATTATTTAGCAACTGTTTTGATACCTCAGCCCCATTTCCAGCCATTGTTTTGCTGCGTTTCCTGACATATTTGGAAGGTGTGGAGTGACAGTGTTGTCAATTAATCCACAGCTGGACTGTCAGATTGGGCTGGTGCCACAAACAGAATCTGTTTTAGCTACATCCAAATCACCCTGCAACTTTTATTAAGCTTAATGGTTGCGATGAAGGTAGATTCTGGAGAAAGTCCATCTCTACGGTCATTAGATGTAAACTAGCATAATCCATCAATTGGGGTTGAGATGTTCAGCATGGACAGTAGCAAGAAGGCTGGGGTCCCCCTCAGAGGGTCAGCAAGAAAGAGGGGGCCTCCGTGAGGAACAAGGGAGGGAGGGGCTGCCCCAAATGCACAGAGATCCCCCCCCACCATGGCAGGAAATGCTGCCTGCTTTTCTGCAGCTGGCCACACACAGCCTCCGTCCAGAATGATGATAAAGAGAACTGTGGGCTTCCTGCACAGCCCCCCCCCCACACTGCCTGTAAGAGCAACTGTAAGGCCAGCCCCCCCTCCAGCCCGTTGCAGCAAGGCTCAGAAGGCAGCCCCAGGGCTCAGCAACTTCCTGGGAGTTGCCCCCACTTCCTGAAAGACGTGCTAAGCAGGGTCCCCAGTTTTCCTGGCACTGAGGACCAAGTTTCATGGGAGATCATTTTTCCACAGACCAGGGGGGGGGGGGTAGAATGGTTTTGTGTACAACCTAGATCCCACACATGCACAGATGAAGCTTTGCTAACGGACCACCGACCGGTCCTGGTCCGCAGCCCAGGGGTTGGGGGCCTCTCCCAGGTGGGGCCCAGCCTTGGGGAGTCATTCTGCCTGCCCCTTCTCCTTGTGGGCCCTTCTCAGCAGGAGGCCCCAGATGGCCCCTTTGGCCAAGCTGAGGTCAGAGGGATGCAGGGGAAACCTCTATGTCAATCACCGGAGCAGCGTCAGATCAATTCCCAGCTGGCCTCCCAAGAAGCCATGGCTTGAATGCTTATCCTGGACCCTCTGTGTGGCCTCCTTCCCACAGATGCTGCAGGGCCTGCTGGCCCCCCTCCTCCTGGCTGCCTCAGTTGCTGCAGTGGCAGCCATGCCTCCCCCCGAGCAGTGCACCTCCGAGATGAACAAGGCCAAGGACCTGCTGGAGGTGAGTTGTGTGGACAAGGGGTTGACCAGCATCCCCTCCGGGCTGCCCAAGGACACGGGCATCCTGCTCCTGGCCGACAACCAGCTGGGCCAGGTTGCCCTGGCCTCCTTCCATCACCTGCCGGAGCTGAGCAAGCTGGACCTGTCCAACAACAGCCTGGAAGTCCTGGAGACCGGCGCCACTTTGCCCAAACTCGAAGAGCTGCTCCTGTCTGATAACGGCCTGGAGAGCCTGCCGCCTTTCCCAGGGCTGCCCGCCCTGAAGCGTCTGAACCTGGGGCACAACCGTCTCTCCTGGCTGCCTGAGGGGGGCTTCCGTGACCTGGACAAGCTGGAACGGCTGCACCTGCAGGCCAACCAGCTGCGGACCCTGCCCGGCGGAGCCTTCGAAGGCCTGGGGGAACTGACGGAGCTGGACCTGTCGGACAACCGTCTGGAGGTGCTGCCTCCGGAGCTGCTGGCCGAGCTGTCCAACCTGGAGATGCTGTATCTGGAGAGGAACCGACTGCAACGGCTGCCAGACGGCTTCTTCTCAGAGGAGGCCGTGTATGTCTACGTCTACCTGGTGGGGAACCCCTGGCTGTGCGACTGCCGGCTGCTCTACCTGCACGGCTGGATCATGAACAACTCGGGCATCCTGTACACTCGCACGAAGGTGCAGATGCAGAGCGGCATGGAAAAGGAGGTCACAGAGAGCAGGGTCATGGACGTCCTTTGCCAGGCGCCCCCCGAGTGGAAGGGCCTCCCCGTCGTGAATTTCACAACTGATGCCTGCAAGAAACTCAGAGATGATGGCGACCACGAGGTGAAAGAAGAGGAAGGAGGCCCTGCAGGTGACAGCTGGGCATCCTCTCTGGCCCCCTCCCCTTTGACCTCCACAGCCGCTGCCCCCTCGGCTTCACGGCCCCTTGCAGCCTCCTCGCACAGCTCAAGCACAGCCATCAGCCCAACCGGTGCCGCCCTCACAACCACAAGCACTTCAGCGGTTAGACCAACTACACAGTCCCCTACAAGCACCAGTCCTGCTCCCGTCATGACTTTTAATGCTCTCACCACAACCGCAACCAGGGCCCCTTTCGGCCCCTCCCCCACTGGCGCCACTGTGGGGAGGTCGCCTGCAACGTCCCATGTCCCCACGTCCGATGTCCCCACTACGTCGCAAGGCCCCTCAACTGCCCACATCCCAACCCCCCCATCCCAGCCCCGCCGTGTCCCCACCACGACCGCGACCTCTTCCACCCCTTTTGCTCACAGCCCCACTGCCTTGATTCTCACCACCCCTCTTCCTCCAAACGCAGCTCCTCCAACGGCAGCCGCAGCTGGGCATCCTCCGAGCACTGCAGCCCTGGTCCCCTCCACCCCCACCGCCACCCCTGCCAGAAGCTCACCCAGGACTTCTGCTCCTGTTTCCACCCACGGCTTTTCTCCCCCACCTCCCCCCAAGCCCTCTGCCCACTGTCTCTGCCCTGCCCTGCCTGTCAGGGTGCTCTGTGTGGCTGCTCGTAAGGGGCCCTCTGCAGATTGGCTGGCTGGCTACTGCTGCCTCCTGCGCCTGGCGCTCTACCTCGCCTGCCTGGCATTGGTGGCCGTGCCAACCCTGGCCGTGCTCTGCTGGATGGGCTGGCTCTACCTCGGCTGGTACCGCCTGGCTCTGCGAGGGGCTCCAGGGTCCCGTCTGGCCAGGTCCCAGCAGTGGCAGAAGGCCTCCCCCGAAGAGTGGCGGCGGAAGTTTGCCAAAGCCCCATATCCCGCAACCGGGCCCCGGATCTACCGGGTCTGCAAGACGTTCCAGGTGGGCCCTTCCCGTCACGTCACCTGGCTGCTGGTCAGCCTGCCTGGGTCTGCCGGAAAATGGGCACAGAGGCACTCCAGGCTGTCCTCCTACAGCTTGGACAGAGGAAAGGACACTCTGGGGGCCGTGAGGGTGAAATACGCCGCGGCCTCTTTGTAAGGGCTAAGCGGTCCAGATCAGAAGCCCCCAATGTCCGCTTAGAGGGAGCTTGCTTGAAGTACGGGGGGGCGGGGGGAAACAGCCTGCAGGTCTTCGGCTCCCCCTTCCTGCCCATTGGCCAGGCTGCTTGCAATCCGTGAGAATTCAGTCCAAGCAGGGCAGGTGGGGTGGGGGGTGGGGCGGCTGAACATGCACGTGTGAGAGGCACCCAGTTCCCCTTCCCAACAGCTGAGCCCAGTCAGCGTCCTGAATGACGGTTCTGGCAGTTCTTGATCCCACAAATCTTGCATGCCTCCCCCGTTGTTATTGTATTTTGTGCCATCTTGGTTTGGACAACAGCAGCGAAGAGGTTGTGGCCTGTGTGCACACAAGGGGGAGGTGAGGGACCTTGGGGGGGGGGGTCTGCCAGGAACCCTTTGGTCACTGCAGCAGGCCAGGGGCTGCTGAGATATTGGCAAGGGTCCCTTCTTCCAGCCTCTTCCGGAGCGCAGTGTGTGTGGGGCGTCCCTGCCCAACTGTGACAAAGTTGCCGTGTCCTGGGATGCAGTGACCCCCTACCCCAGCTGGGACTATGCCCTCCCCAGACCTCCCCCAGCTGATGGCTCAGATGCAAAACCTTCACTGCCCCACAACCAGGGACCTGGTAAGGTGGGGCTGACCTACATCCCAGAGGAAAAGGGGGCCAGATCCTGGTTTGTGTGGGGAGAGGCAGCAGGGTTGCCATTGCTACTTTCACGGACTGCCAGCATTGGCTCCTCACGATGCCCCCCCAGGGAAGTTGCCCTGCCACGGCTGGCCTCTGGGGGACCCCTGCCCACTTGGCCCCCACAGGCCCCCTTCCGTTTGCCTGGGAGGGGGAGAAGGCAATGGCTTCGCCCAATATTTGCTCCAGCGCTGAGACGCACTCACCCCCCCAAGGAGGCCCTTGCCCAGACCGGCAGCCTCCCTTCCCCCCTGCCACCCGATCCCTCCTGCCGCCTGGCACCGGAAGGCCTGGGCAGGAGGCCCAAAGCGGCCCCATGCAGGAGACCCCGGAAGACATCGGCCACCCGTTTCAGAAATGCAGCAGCTTTGCTGCCACCAGAGGGCGCTAGCCATCCCCACAGCTGAGAAACCAGCGGTCACCCCAAGGTGCCTTTGGGACTCTTATTGGGGGGGTCCTTGCATGGGGGGGGCATGGAAGCCTTCCAAAGGAGGTCAGTGATGCCCCCCCCCCAAGTCTGTGGCCATGTGCCAGACAGGCAGCCGGTGCTTCCCCATAGCCAGGGGTAGGCAACCTTGGCCCTTTTATGACTCGTGGACTTCAACTCCCAGAATTCCTGAGCCAGCTATGCTGGCTCAGGAATTCTGGGAGTTGAAGTCCACGAGTCATAAAAGGGCCAAGGTTGCCTACCCCTGCCCATGGGGGGAGGGGAGTAGGAAGCCACCCTGGGCACAGACAGGGGCACACTTGCCCACCAAGGGCAGGGACAGTGGCTGAGAGCAGCTGAAGGGCGCAACCAGGCAAGGGGCTTCTCCCCCTGCAGGGATGGGGTGGGGAATGGGGCAGTGGGCTGGGGCTCTTTCTCGGCATCGACATTGGAATAAAAACCCGCTGGCCTCGCAAGAACTGCCCGTCTCCACCTGGTTCCTCCGTCGGCCTCTGTGCGTAGTAACCGCAGCGTGGCTGCCGCTTCAGTTAAGGCTGCAGGTTCGTCTCCAGTTCTTCACGGAAGGGAAACCGAGTCTTGGGTGAGCTGGCCTTTTGACGATTAAAAAGAGCCTCCCCCTCCTGCCAGCACCCACCCCCTCCCCATCTGCACCCCCATCACCCCACCAATCCTGCTTTCCTCCTGCTCTGTCCACACGCAGAGCAGGAAAGAGACCCCCCCCACCGAAAAAAGGGCAGCAGAGCTGGCCTCTCTCTCGAGGTGAGAGCAGCCTCCCCCCTTCCAGCTCCCCAGCCCTGCGGAGACCCCTCGCCTTGCCTGCCCAAGGGGCAGAGGACCCCCGCCCAGCGCCTGCCCTCCCCTCCCCCGTTCGCAGCGCAGAAAGAGCCACAGCCGGAGGGAGGATTTTGGTTCTTTATCAAGAGATGAAATGCAAAGGCCACCACTGATCCCTGGGGGGGGGGGAGCTCCCTTTTCCACAGGGAAGTCGGGGAGGGGATTATATACAAATGCAAGCAAACTGGACGAGAAAATCAAGTTGCAAACAGGAGCCGCGGCGTCCTGGCCTGCCTCTGCCCCAGCGGCCACCAGAGTAAGCCCTGTGGAAGCATCCCAAGCCTAGCCAAGGGGGGGCGAGGGGGGGGAGGGGGACAAAAGCAGGCAGTGCCTCTGCCTGGGGAAGGGGGAAAGCCCCCCCCCCACTCCTGGAGCCAGCAGAGGCCCCACCCCGGAGGAGGAGGAGGAGGAGGAGGAGGGGAGGCGGCCCAGGCCTCTGTGGGTGCCCCCTGCCCAACCGGATGAGCTGGGCCATTAAAGTGCTTCATTAGTTAATTACTTAAATTGCCATTACAAAAGAATAATTAAAGCAAAATATACACAGCTCCCCTCTTGGTTGGTGGGAGAGAAAATTCTAGATATACATCCAGGTGAAGCCCAAAGCTGGGGGCCAGCGGGGGGGGGGAGGGAGGAGGGAGACCCCACCCCAGAGAGCAGCCAGTCTCCCCCCTCAAGGACTCCAGAGAGCAAAGAGGAGCAGGCGGGGGGGGCATGTGGGGGGGGGCATACTGTGGTGCCCAGATCACAAGGGGGGAGGGGAGAGAAACAGAAGAGGGCCAGAAGGTTGAGTGTGTGGGTGAGAGAGTAAGGGGTGTGTGTGTGTGTGTGTTTGTGTCATTTGTTCCATCATCATCATCCTTCCCCCCCCCCTCGCAGTTGGGATGAGGGGTGTTCTTCCTCCACTTCAAGACAGCAAGTCTTGAAGTTGGGGGGGCTGGGATCATGGGGAGGGGCTCTGAGGGCCCCCTCCCCTCCCCGCCTTCCCCACGGGAATGTGTGGGTGGCCTTGGGGGGGAGGAAAGGGAGGCGGGGCCCCTGAGGCAGGGCCCCGATGGATCTGATGGCCGAAGGGGGGGGAGAAGGCCTGAACCCCCAGACCCAACGATCCCGCGAGAGAGGAGAGAGCGCTAGCCCACCGGGGTCTGGTTTGCCCTGGAGGGCTCAAAGGAGCCTCCCCCTCCCCCCTCCCCAGAAGGCCTGTGCCCCCATCCCACCGGCTGCCCTCCCTCCTGGAGACCCTCTGGATCCTCCGGCCGGAGCAGGGCCAGCAGCGGCCTTCACCAGTTCATGATGCAGTTCCTGTTCAGGGTCATGAAGTAGACCTGGCTGCTGCCCCCGGAGCGCACGGAGGCGAAGAAGACCTGCGGGGGGGGGGGGGAAGGAGAAACGGGGGTCAGAAGGTGGGTCGGACGCCCCTGCCTGGTGCTGCAGGGGCATCAAGAGCCCCTTCTCCACCCCCAGCCCCACTCCGGTGCCAGGCTTTGCCAAAACCACCCCCACCCCACTCCCCATGGCCGAGGGTCTTAGCCAGGCTGGGCGCCCAGAGGGACCCACCTTGTCGTTGCGTTCGCACAGGAACTTCAGCCGTTGGGCCCGCTTGTGCATGAAGACGCCATCCAGGTGCCCCGTCTCCACCGAGCGGATTTCGATGGCCTTCTCGCCCCAGCCCATGATCTGATTGGAGCAGATGTACGCTGGGGGGGGGAGAGGAAAGGGCCGGACGTGGGTGGGGGGCTCCCTGCTGAGCAGCTCCCCCCCCCGGCTCGGACTCTGTGGCTTGAATCCGTATTCAAAGCAAAGAAACGGGGACCCCCCCGAAAAGAGGCAGGCGTCTGGTGGAGCTCCCTGTGCCCCCTCCTCCCCAGGCCCTGCCCCAGAGAAGGAAAGGGGGGGGAGCTCTTCAACCTCTAGCAGGCAGGAGGCAGCCCTGACCGAGGGGGGGGGTAAGGCTGGGGGAGGGGGGGCTTCCAGAGCCTTGGGAAGGGGGGGCACCAAGTTTGGGCAAAAGCATCCCGGTTAGCAAGAAAGGCTACTTCCACCGTTTCCTGCTGGACCGATCCTGCCGGGCTCTGAACCCCAGGAGAACTCAGGACGGGAATACCTCTGAGAGGAGAGCAACGTTTGTGCCGGGCTTTTCTGCAGCCCCCTCCCCCCCCCGCTCTGGGCTCTGATCCAGGCAGCCTCCCCCCTGGCGTCCGAGGGCCTCTGGGCGGCTCCCTTGGGGCTGAGACCCCCCCAGACTCACCCACGGAGGTGGGCATCTCCCCCCACTGCAGGACCACGTCCTTGATGATGCGCCCGTAGGTGTTGACGTAGACGCCCTCGTCCTCGTAGCAAAGCAGCATCTCCATCCCGTCCGTGTTGGGCAGGAAGACGATGGCGTGTGGGGTGATCTGGGACTGGATCTGGGGGCCCAGAAGGAGCGGCGGTCAGCCCCACCAGGGCAGCGTTGGGTGGGTGGGGGGAGATGGGCTCCGGAGAGGCTCCCTCCCGCACTCACGTGGACCGGGATGTAGATGTCGTAGTTGTTTCCGGAGTCCACATCAATGGCATGGAATCCGGCACACGAGCCGTAGATGACCTTCAGCCGTTGCCCTTCCTCCACCGTCAGCTCCACCAGCAGCGGCCGGTGCGGCAGGTCGGCGAAGGACTGCAGGGCACAGACGGAGGGGGAGGGGAGTGAAATTACCACAGCTGCCGGGGGATGGGGGAAGGCAGAGGACCCTCCGCCCCACAGCCCCTCCGCCCCGTACCTTGAAGGCCATGAACTTGTGGTAGGGTTTGGGGGCCCAGGCGTAGACCTCCACTGAGCTCTTCAGCGCGATCACCAGGAACTTGATCCGCTCGTACTTCACTGTGGGTGACAGGGATCCCCGTCAGGGCCAGGCCCTCGGAGGAGGCCCCTCAGAGGACAGCGGCACCAGCCCCCCCCGGCCCGCCTCCCCGGGGATCTCCCGTTGCTCAGGGGAGGTCAGAGAACCCCCTGGTCCTGCCACATCCCAGCCCCTGCTCACCCACGCGGTAGTGGAGGCAGCCCTCCAGGTCCCCCACGGTGGTCCAGCCTTGCTTCTTCTCCACTTCCGGGTCGTTGTGCAAAATCTTGTTGCGCAGCCAGGAGAGGTAATAGACCCGCAGCTTGTTCCTCTTTCCTGCAGGGGCAGGGGAGGGGGGAGGGCAGGGAGGGGGTCACGGAGCCGCCACGAGGCAGGCAAGGAGGGAGCAAAGGGCCCAAGGGGAGGGGCCGGCTTCGGGGTCCCCCACCTCCAGCGCCCGGCAGCCCCTAACCTGAGATGGTGGTCAGCAGGTTCAGACCCTCCAGGACGTCCATCTGCTGGAAGCGCCGGCGGTTGATGAGGCCGTAGACCTTGCCCTGCCCGCTGCGGTCCAGCAGCATCAGCCCGTTCTCAGTGCCCACCAGCAGGTTGACCCCTGTGTGTGTCGGGGGGGGAAAAGTGTGTGTGTGTGTGTGAGAAGCGGTGTCCTGCCTCCCCGGGGACCCCCTTCCCGCCTCCCCTTCCAGCTCTCTCACCCCAGAGGGCCGCGCAGAGGATCTCCGAGCCGAAGCGCTTCTTGTACTTGCGGATCTCCGGGGCGTCACTGTGGGGCCTTGTGTTGGCAGGGTTCACGTTGACCACGGAGCCCTTCCGGGCCTCCAGCTGCAGCTGCTCCAGCCGCCCGGGGTCGAAGGCCGCTAGTCGGGGAGGCCAAGGGGGAGGGTCAGCGGGCGCAGGGAGCGGGAGGGCGGCCCTGCTGGGCAGATGGCCCTGGAAACCTCACCCGAGTGGCCCCCTCAGCCGGACAGGAGGGCAGAGACAGGAGGGAAACGACCTCCGGGAGAGCCTCGGGCCTCTCGCAGCCCTCCGGGTTCAGGCATTCAGCCCACCGGCAGGCCTGGCAAGAGTCCCCGGGCAGCCCGCCCCCCCCCCTTCGGCACCAAGGCCAGGGCTGGTTCTGAAACTGCCTGGCCAAGCGGGCGCCCATCTCCTCCTGCCAAGAACCTCCCCCCCCACTCACCCGTGATGGGGATGGTGTCTCCTCCCCCAGGGGAGCTTTGATAGATGCCCAGGTCCACAAACATGGTGAAGGAGCTCTTGCCCGGAGCCTTGACCAGCCCCCGCGACTGGTACTGCGGGCAACAGAGGGAGGGGGGGAGAGAAAGGTCAGTCCAGGGCCGTTCCCGGAGGGCAGAGCGGCTCTCACCCCCTGCACACTCTCAGCCAAGGTGGCCGGTGCCAAGGGAGCGGCCGACGCCAAGGACCCTGGCAGGTGAACCCTGGCTCTGCCCCAGGGCCCTCCTCCCGCCCCTGGGGACCCCCACCCACTCACGTCAGAGGCCACCTCCTTGGTGGGAGAGGAGGATCCGTTGCTGCTCTTGGCTTCCGTGGGAGAGTGGCTGGGCTGAACCACGTCAGGCAAGTTGGTGTAGCCGTTGCTGTCGCTGTGCAGGAGGCCACGCTCCTCCTCGGGGGTCTGGAGAGGGCAAAGAGGGGGCTCAAGGCCGGGTCAGGCCAAAGACGAGGTGCCCCCCCCTCCCTCCGCTTACACCGCAGCCCACCGGGCATAATTAGGGCTTTGCCAACAGGGATGGGCAGAGCCAACGGCCCTCCCGACTGGCAGTCAGGAGCAGCCCCTGGCCCTGCGAGTTCAGGGCCGGACCCCCGTAAGGGGAAACTGGGTTTCAAGAAGGAAGGGGCAGAAGCCTTGCTTGTCTGTGGGAAAGGGGGGGAGGTGCCACTGCCCAGCGACATGAGATAAAAGGGCGAGAGCTGCAGCTGAAGGCCGGGAAGAGGAAGCCGCTTCGAGAGACGCCCTCACTGCCCAGGCGGGAAAAAGAGGCCGGGGGGGGGGTTCTGCACTTCCAGGCTGGGGAGATTCCCTCCTTGGGGGGCTGCTCACCCGCTGCACCAGCATGGTGCCCTCGCCGTAGGAGCTCTCGGAGCCCCCGCTGCCACCCGTCAGGTCCTCCACGTCGTGCACCACCATGGTGCTCACCGAATCCGTGTCGCCGTCCCTGCAGCCGGAGGAAGCGGGGCGGAGCGTCAGGGGCCGGAGGAGGCCATGCGCCCCGGGAGGCCGGCAGAAGAGAGGCGGAGGGAGCGCCCCCCTGGCTCCTCACCTGGCCCCGGGGGTGCTCGTGCCAGGCTCCGAGTGCTCCCCCTCGCCCGCCTCTTCCTCCTCCTCCTCCTCCTCCTCTTCCTCGCTGGAGTCGACCTCTTCACTGGAGGAGGAGTAGTCCAGGGCCTTCTTCAGCGGCTTGGGGGCCGCCTCCTCCGGGCGCTCCTTGAGCAGGACGAAATTCTACGGGGGGGGGGAGAGGGAGGAAGGTCCAGACATTGATAAAAGCAGCAAACCGTTGGGGGTCTGGGGGGAGTGTCCAATTCCTCCCCTGCCCCAGGAACCTCCGCCCGGCGGCCAAGAACCTTGCTGGGAGAGCAGAGCGGGCACCCCGAGGGCTCAGCCACCCCGTGTTGCTGACAGGAAGAGGGGCAGGGCTGATCCCCTCCCCAGGGCACCTTCCCCGGACGAAGGGCTCAGCAGGCCAGGCTGGGAGCGACATAGGAAAAAGAAAGGGGGGCAGCAGGTCCCTGCAGCCCCCAAAGCTTTGCCAGGGGCAGGAGAGGCAGAGGGTGTGTGTGGAGGGGTGGGTGGCACTAACCTCACCAATTGCCCGCTTATAGCTCTGAGTCATGCAGAAGGAAAAAGAAAGAAGGGGGGGAGGAACAGGTTAGGCTGCACCTTGCCCCCCCCGTCCTCCCCCCCCAGCCAGGAACCACGGCTGCTGCCTCCCTTGGCAGCACCAGGGGCAGGAGACAAGGGGGGGCGTTTCCTCTCTCTCCCCCCCACCCCCAAAGCCTCCTTCTGCATTTCCACCCCTGCTTGGCCAAACCCCCAAATTCCTCTCAGCCGGTCCCTGGGCGCCCCCCCCCACCGAGGGTGCCTTCCCTGGCACGGCTGCTCCTTGTCCGGGGTTCTTGTCACCCCCCCCCAGCTTTTCAGCAGGAGCCCCCCTCAAGCCCCCCCCGCTTCCTACTCACGGCTGGTCTCCCCGGCCGCGAGCGATGGTCGTCCGCCTTGGCCTTCCTGCCTTGGGACAGGATGGGGGAGCCCTCCAGCTTCAGGGGAGCTGCAGGAGAGGCGGGGGGGGGGGAGGCAGGCCAAGTTGGGCACAAGCAGAAAGTTTGCTGCCCGCTTTGCCCGTCCTCCCAGCCAGGGAGCACGAAGGGGGGGAAGCCCTGCAGCCGAGTGGGGCTTCAGAACTCAAAACGGGGGTCGGACACATCTGGAGCCAGGCCTGGAGGAACCGCCCATCGCTCCTGCAGACCTCTATCCTCCCCCCCCCCGTCCAAGGAAGACCCCGAGTCCCGCCTCACCTGCCACGCGGTTGCGCTCCAGGGAGCCTGCCTGGGGCAGGTTGGCGGCCCCCGACTGCAGCAGGCTGTCCCCGCGCTCCCAGCCGGGGTCACTCCTGCGGAGGTCGGGGTTGCTGCCGGGAAGGAGGGAGACGCTGTGCTCAGACTGCCCGCCCCACCCCGCCCCACCCCAGCGGTGGCAGCAGAAGCAGCGGCGGCGGCAGCACCCAAGCCTCCCCCCCCAGGCAGGAGAAACACCAGCAAGCCCACCAGCAGCCCCGGCAGGAGCAGCGGATCCATTACCTACTGGTGTTTGGCCCGGAAGGGTTCCGGCCAGCAAGTGAGGGGAGAGGAGGGGCTGGCAAAGGGCTCCCCCCCTGGGGCCCCTTCTCCAGCCGGCTCTGCATGTGGATGTGCCACGCAGACTTGCTACGGGGCCTGTGGAGGGGAGCACAAGCACGTCACGGGACTGCCGGGGTGGGGGGGGGGAGGGATCCAGGAGGCCGGAAGCTGAGCAGAGGCTCCAGGAGCAGAGCTGGTGCCGCCCGGCGCTGAGGGTGCGCCTCCTTGTGCCCCACAGCCCTCCAGCCCCACCCACCCACCCACCCCCTGGGCTCCCAACCCACCCACCCACCCCCTGGGCTTCCCCTCCTTCTCTGAAGCCGGGTCACCCGCCGCCTCCCACCGAGGAGCCAGTGGCTCAGCCACAGGACGATGCCAGCCTCCTGCCCACAAGCCAGCCTCGCAGCTGTCCGGCCCAGCCAGACTTCCCTCCCACAGCCTGTCCAGGGGCGGGCATGGCAGGGAGGACCCCGCACAAGGCTGGCAGGGAGGACTCCGAACAAGGCAGCAGCACAGACAACGGGGAACAAGGCTCTTCCGCTCTCCGCTCCTACTCCCCACAACAGGCAGCTGTGAGGCAGGATTACCCACCTGGCTCGGACAGCGTGGACCGGCCGCGTGCTGCTGCCGCCGGTCACTCCACTCGTGTTGAGGGCGGTTGCTATGGAGGACGTCCGCTGGGGCACCTGGGGGGAAGGAGAGGGTGAGTCCCCTGCTGAACGCCCCCCCCCTTTGCCAAGGATTTGAGGGGAACTGTCAGGAAAGCGCTCCCCTTACGGGAACGGCCTGCCCCTCTCCCCCTGCCCCCTCGTGCTGCAACAACCAGGGGCTCGGAGAAACCCTGGCCGGGCAGCAGGAAGGGGAGGGAGGGGGCGCTGGTGACCCACGGGATGGGGGGGTCTCTCGCTCTCGGCCCAGCTCAGCCCACCTGGACGCCCTGGGGCCGGCCGCCCGTCTTCCCGTTCCGCCCCAACGGATTACCTGGGGAGGGCCATCGGGGTCCATTTTGACCCAAGGTCCTCGCTGGTCGGCAGTCGGCCGGGAGGGCTGTGGGGCAGGCCCCTCGGAAGTGGGGTCAGAGTTCTGCCGGATCATGCCCCCGCGAGGAGGGGGCGGGGCGGAGGAGGAGGCGGAGTCATGGACAGGGAAGGCAGCCATGTTCTTGCTGGGCTGGTCCTGCAGCGACTGGGAGCGGGGGACGGGGGCAGCGTATGGTTTGAGCGGGACGCGATGGGCCAGGTGGCTCTGTGGAGGGAGAGGCCGTGCGCAAGGGGTCACGGAGGGGGCCCTGCTTCCCGGGCTGGTGGGGCTGTGGGAGGAGGGGGGGCACGCCTGACACCCCAGCCCCTCCCTTGGCTCAGCTCCCCAGCCCCTCTGACCGGGCTGAGGAGTCTCCCTGGGCCCTTCGCCTGGGGAGGCAGTGGCCCTTCGCCACTGGCAGGCAGGGGGTGAAGGGGGGCAGAGGGCAGCCGATGGGAGAAGCAGCCGATGGCAAGAAGCAGCTGGGATGGGGGAGGAGGAGGAGGGGGGAGCAGAGCAGAGGTGGGGAGAGGGGGGAGGGCGCCCACCTTGTGCTGCCCCTCCTGGGGCTCGACAGGGCGCTGCATGGGGGGCGTCTGTGAGGACGAGGCCAGGGACCCCGGCTCGGCACAGGGCTGGGCGGAAGAGTCTTGCCCGGTGCCCCCCAGCTTGGCCTTGGCGGCCAGCGAGGGCGAATTCTCCCTGTTGACGCAGCTCCGCTCTTCCACCTGCGGGCGACAATGAGCTGGCCCACTGCCCCTCTGCCACCTTCGGCCCCTCCCTGCTGCCCGCCCGGGCAGTCCCCCCAGGGGGAGGGCTCCTGGGGTACCTCGCGGGCCCAGGGGGGCTTCTCGGGGGCGGCTGCGCTGCTGCGGTTGTGGTGGTAGAGGGGCTTCGGTTGCTGTTGCTGCTGCTGCTGCTGCTGTTGCTGCTGCAGGGACTTGAGGTAGGCGTGCTCCTGCTGGAGCTGCCTCTGCAGCCGCTCTGACTGCCGCTGCTCCTCCAGCTGCTTCCGCTTGTACTCCTGCAGGGGCGCACAGGGGAGGCTGGCAGGATGGAGGGGGGGACGCGGCAGCCCCCGCCCAGCAGGCAACCCCCCCCAGCTGCTCCCACCTGCCTTACCAGCAGCAGGGCCTGTTCCTGCAGGAGCTGCTGCTGCAGGATCTCCAGTTGCCTCTGCTCTTCCTCCAGCTTGTGCCGGATGTACTCCTGGGGGGGGGGAAGAGGGGGCAGAGCAGGTGGTGAGGAAGGGGCAGCAGAACCCCCTCCCAAGAGCAGCAGCCTCTGGCCTTCCAGCTCGCCTCAAGCAGGGAAGCAGGAAGGCCCCACCGGTGGTCCCCCCGCCACTGCCGGCGCCCCACCTGCTCCCGCTCGGCCTGCCGGCGCTCCTCTTCCCGGCGCATCACTTGCAGGTCCTCCAGGCGCCGCTGGTGCTCCTTGCCCTGCAGCTTCCGCTGCTCCCGCTCTCGGCGCTGCTGCTGTGGACAGACGAAGGGGCAGCGGGCAGCTGAGTGGGCGTGGCGAGCCAGGGGGGGCGCTCGCCACCACCGGGGCCGGCCCTGAGATAGCAGGGGATGGGGGAGATTGCCACGAGCCCGTCCCACCTCCTCGACTCGCCGCCGCTCTTCCTTCTGCTCCTCAATGCGGCGCTGGCGCTGGTGCAGCAGGTGCTTGATGTGGGCTTCGGAGTCGCGGTGCTGGGCGGCCAGCTGCTGCTGCAGCTTCAGGGCCTCCGAGTTGCTCTTGTTCTCCTGCTGCAGGCGGAGGAACTCCCTCCGTAGGGTGGACTCCCCGGGGACGTTCATGATGGAGCTGGGGGGGGCAGAGGGAGAAGGGGGGGGTCAGTCAGCTGTCAGAGTGCCAAGCGACACGCCTGGCACTCCTTCCCCAGAGGGGACCAGCAGACCCCGCCTCTCTGCCCTCCGTACCTCGGCTCTCCTTCCTCACCGCGCCCATCATCCTCTTCCTCACTGCCGCTGTACTCGTACTCCGTCTCGTCTGCGGGAGGGAACAGCAAGAGGCAGCCCAGTGCAGGGCAGAACCCGGAACCCACCCCCACCCATCCCGGAGCCAGCTCCCCACCTCACTCACCCTTCTCCCCCCTCTTCTTGCGGGTGCGGTCGATGTGGTCCTTGAGCTGGATGCGGACCTGCCGCTCGGTGGGCTGGTCGCGGATGAAGGGGAACTTGAGCAGCTGCTCCGTGGGGGGCCGGTTGGGGTAGGCTTTGATCAGGCAGTTGTCGATGAAGTCGATGAACTTCTTGGACCTGCCCCAGAGTGGGAGGAAGAGGCTGCGGTTACCCTGCTCCCCACCCCCTCCATGTCCTGAGGGGCAGGCCCCAAACAAGGGAGGCTGGCATGCCCGTCACCCGTGAGCCCCACTCAGGCTCTCCCAGAGCCAGACAGCAAGTGGGGTAGCCCTCCTGGAAGACTCTCCGTCAGGCATGGTGACCTCGACCAGATTCTGTGATGGGAGCAGCCCCGGGAGAGGTCTCCCCCTTGCTCGCATGCTCCCCCACCCCTTCAGAAGGAAGGAAACCAGGGGCTTCCATCTTGGACAAGACACAGGAGTCCCCGAGTCGCCCCCCTCCCCCCATCGTCCCTTGTTGCCTCTTCGCTGCCCAAGGGGAGCACGTACCATTTCTTGGACTTCAGCTTGGGTGGGGGATTGCGCGGGATCAGGAAGAGAGCACGCATGGGATGCATGTCGCACAGGGCTGCAAGAGGAAGAGAAGTGAGCAGAGCAACGCCAGGGCTGACGGGCCCTCCCTAGAGAAAATCAGGTGCCCCAGGATGCTGCCCCAGACACTCACGGGGGGCTCCTTCGGCCATCTCAATGGCAGTGATCCCCAGGGACCAGATGTCGCTCTGCAGAGGAAGGAGGGAGGGAGGGAGGGAGGGAGGGTGTCAGACTCCCTTTGTAGTGAAAGGCAGAGTTTACTAAAAGCCAAGAGGGTTACAATAAAGCAAGTTCCCTCGCCAAACTTTCCTGGTTTCCCTGTCCAGTTCCTCTCCTCCCCTGGTCCCTTATTGTCCAGTTATCTTTGAATAAATTGTTGACAGGCTGGTTGGTGAGTCCCAGGCTTTGACCTTGAGATCTTCTTGTCCCTGGAAGGACCGATGCGCCTGCAGCCTTCCCTCCCCCCGTCCAGCTCCCTCCCCTGCATGGTTCAAGGCCGACTGAGTGCTAAGCTCAAGCGTCCGATGGCAGTTCTGACGGAGGGAAGAGTGTTGCTGACCCACAGCCCAGCCAGCCATCTCTCCTTCTCCCTCCCGCTCCTCCTAGGTCTCATTCCTCCCCCGGCCACTCTGACACACAAGATGACCCACCCACCCACCCCCTGGCAGGTTTACTGGAGACCTACTCTGTAGTCGTACGTGGCATCAGGATTTTCATCACAGGCGATCACCTCCGGTGCCATCCAGTAAGGGGTGCCGATGAACGTGTTCCGACGCCCCACCGTGCGGTCCAGCTGGGCACTGACCCCGAAGTCGACTGCAGAAAGCAGAGAGAACGAGAGCAGCTTCACCCAAGGTGCAATTTCTGGGGTGACGGGACCCAACCTGCCATGGCCGGATGGCTTCCCTGGCCAGCCCTGGGCCTCTGCGAGGGCGGGGGTCCCGGAGGGGCTGCCTCAGGCCCCTGAGGGATCCAGAAGGTCCCCAGAGAGTGCCTGGCAGCAGGTCCTGCCTCACTCCCAGAGCGGGTCAGAAGCAGTGAGACCGTTGGCGGAGTTTGCTCCGGCAGGGCCTCTACCCAAGTTGGTGGGGAGCCGAGGAAAACAAAGCAAGTTAAGAACCGGCAGAGGAACGTATTTGTAGCTCTGGGCTCAAATGAGGGGTCCCTGGTGCTCTCCGAGCCGGGCTGTTTCCTTGCGCACCATGTTATCCAGTTTGGGTAAAGAACCGTCTGCACGAAGACAACGCGGCTTGGAGGGTACCCAGGTCTCCCCGGGTTAAAAACCACCTAAAGCAACAGCGTCAAACCCCGCAAGGGAGGGGGGGCACCCGGAAAGAGTTGAAGTCTCCTCTGTGGGGCTCAGAGGGCAAAGTGCTGCTTCTTCTCTGGACTGGCTGCGCCTGCAGGTGCCCAGCCACCAAGGCTCCTCCGATTCTTACTTTACACCAGGGGTGTCATGTGATATGTCGTGACATATCGCGACTTTTTTTTTCCATCGCCGGCAATCGGGTGGGCGCAAGTTTGCTATGATGCATCCGGCCCGCTTTACAGCCTCTGCGGCATGGCCACAGGAGCCCCCATCCCAGGAGCCCCCATCCCCAGGGATGTCTGGGAAACCAAGTCCAGGTTGAGAAGAGGGTCTGTTGCAATTCCACACACACACACACCCCACACACAGGCACCTGCGACCTACCTGGGGCAGAGGCCTTCCCAGGAGCGCTCCCCAGTCAGGCAGCCCTCTCCCCACAGGTGCACCCAGCCCTCCCTCCCTGTTACTCCAGAGCTCCCTCGCAGCAGAGCCGGCAGCCCACCTACCCAGCTTCACCTCCGCGTTCTCCGTGAGCAGCACGTTCTGCCCCTTGATGTCCCGGTGGATCACCTTGTGCGCGTGGAGGTGAGCCAGTCCCTGGTGGGGGGCAAGAGGGGGGAGGTCAGGCCTTGTGCAGGGGAGGGGAGGAGAGGGGGGTTTGCAGGTCTGGCCCTGCCCGCCAGAGGCCCCACGGGAGCCCTCACCCGGAGGATCTCCCGGCAGACGTAGGCGATGCAGTCTTCCTTCAGCGCGTTGCCCTTAGTGTTCTTCACCAGGTCCGTCACGGAGCCGGCACCGCAGAACTCCATCACAAGCTGGAGAAAAGGGGGGGAGGTGGGAGGTGAAGGTGGGCAACGTCGTAGCCCGGCCGGCCAACCTGCTGCTCTTGGGGACCCTCTCCCTCGCCTCACCCAGAGCTGGTCGTCATTCCCGGGGGGGCTCTTCTTGACGAAGGCCCCATAGTAAGTGGCGATGTTGCGGTGATGGGAGTACTTCTTCAGCATGTTGATCTCCTGCTTGATCTCCTCCTCTTCATCCTTTTTGGGGGGAGGGGGACAGAGTCAGGGGGGGCATTCCCCTTGCCCCACAGAAGTGCACAGCCATCCTCCGATGCGCGCCCAGCAACCCAGCCACCCCAGGAGCCCCCCCCCAGCTGTCTCAGGGCGGCCCTCCCCGGCCTTCTGGCTCCAGAGGGAGGGAAGGACACCTACCTCGGTGACATCCATGACCTTAATGGCAGCCAACTGCCCCGTCTTGACATGGCGGCCCTGGCAGGGGAGAAAGCAGGGGAGGAGGGAGTCAGCCACTTCCTGACACCGAGGACAATTAGCCAGTGGAAGAGCCTGCCACCAGAAATCGTGGGCGCTCCATCCCTGGAGGTTTTTAAGAAGAGGCTGGACGGTCACTTGTCTGAGATGGCGTAGGTCCTCCTGCTTGAGCAGGGGGCTGGACTAGAAGACCTCCAAGGTCCCTTCCAGCTCTATTCTACTCAGATGGCAGGTGCCCCTCTGCCCTACCCAGGAGGAGGAACTGCGCTTGGCTCTGGCAACATGGGGCTGGCGACCCCCCCCCAGCGCTGAATCTCGAGGGAAGAGCCGGCCTCCCTTTGGAGGCCCCTGCTGCGCTGAGAGCTCCTGGTGCCAGCAGAGGGAGCCCAGGAGTCATCCTGGCCTGGCTCTCCCCCCCCCCCCCCGTGCCACCTTCCAGGGCTGCCCAGCGCCATGGGGAGGGGGGGAAGGGTGGCTCTACCTGGGGGGGGGACAGCTGCTTCCCACCCTGCCTCTTTCACTGTGGAAGAGATCAGCAGAGCGGCACTGGGACAGGAAAGGAGGGAGGCTGGCGGGATGGGACTCCAAAACATGCCCCCGGGTCCCTGTTGTTTTTAAGCCCCCCCCTGCTCCATGGGCACCCCTGCTGGACCCCGAGGTCAAGCTCACACGGCCGAGGGAGGGACCCCGCATGCTGGGTGGGCAGAGCACCAAGGGCTGGCTGGAGGGGAGGCCAAGCACAGCCTTTTCTCTCCCCCTTCACGGGGGGGGAGGAGGGTCTGAGCCCCCAGGCTCTCATCTGCACCCCTCTTCACAGCCAGGCTGCCCTCGACTCAGGAAGGGCAGCCATCGCTGCAGAAAGAGGGAAACATCCCCCCCCCCAGCTCTGCACCGCTGGGCAGCAGCCTCACTCCTGCTCAGAGCCCACCGGTTGCCCCCCCGTCGGAGGAGAGCCAGGGGGCGATTTTCCAGAGCCCCCCCTGCCCTCAGCCGTGTGTTGGCATTGTCTTCTCTGCCACATAGCCTGGCGTGGGCAGCCGTTGCTTGGCAACCGCCTTCCGCTTCCTTTCAAGGGGACCAGTGCTGGAAAGGCCCCCCCCTCCCCTGAAGTGTGAAGAGAACGATCTGGTACACCTCCTCCCTGCCCCCACCCCGCCCCCACCCCGGCAGGGAAGGGGGGAGAGCTGCAGCCGCCCACCCCCACCACGTTCCCAAGGGAGACCCTCCCCCCTGCCGCTCAGGCCGTAGGCAGCACCCCCAGACAGAAAAGGCCCCCCAGGCTCCCCTCAGGGCTGCAGGGAGGCCAGTGAAGCCCCCCCCGAGCAGGGAGGCCCCCTCCCCACAGGGTGGGAGGCCTGAGCACAAGGAAGCCCAAGGCCGGCCCGGCCCCCTCCTCTGAGGGCCCAGGGGGCAGCCAAGGAAGGGGCAGCCCCCCCACCCAGGAGACCCTTTCAGGCGGGGGGGACCAGCCGGTGTCCCCCCATCACAGGGGGTCCTGAAAGGCCCGGCCTTCTCCCAAGGCAGCCCCAAGGAGAGGAGGGAGCGTCTCACTAACAAGGCTCCCTCCCCTCCCCCCTCCAGGGAAGTGGGGCACGAATTAACATCTGTATCTGCCCTTGAATAATGAGGAGGATGAAACGTCCCCACCCCAAATCCCCCCCCACTCGGTCACTCACCTTGTAGACCTGCCCGTAGGTCCCATTGCCCACCACCTCCACCAGCTCAAAGATGCCGGCAGGGTCCTGCGGAAGGAAGAAGGGGCCGGATGAGAGCCTGGCAGCTGCCCGGAGGTCGAGGGCACCCCCTGCCCATCAAAGCCTCGGCCAAGGCGGGCCTCGCTCTGCCGCGGGTGACCCATTGCTGGGCAAGGGGGGGGACCATTGCTGAACCCCACAGGATGGTCTGGCTCTGCCAAAGTTTCCCCCCCCGCTCAGGAAGCTGGAAAGCGGTGCTCGGGGACACCCCCCCACGCACACACACACTATCAAATGTCAATGTGGCCCCCCAGCATAACAGATGTGTGTCTGTGAGAGGGGCGCAAGACAGCTCTGAGCTCCCTACACGAAACCTAAGCAGCCCCCCTCCCCAGGGTCTTGTGCATCTTATTCTAACAGGCCTCACTACTCCGTGCCCCCTTGCCCGTCCCCCCATCCCCCGGCTACATGCGGAGGCCCATCCAGGAGCCCTGGTGCTAAAGATGGGGGTTGCCCCAGAGCGGACGCCGCCCTCTGCCCTGGCCTCAGCCCCCAAACCCGTTCTGCCCAGGGCGCCTCTTCCCCTCCTCCCTCCGGGTGCAGCCCAGGGACTCCCTCTCCTGCCCCCCCTGGGCACCCCTCGGCCACGCCGGCCTTTGCCCGAGGGCAACCAGGGAGGGGCCAGCAGGGCTCTGTCCTGCCACGGCTTCCTGCGGCCCCAGTTCGCCTCCTGCTGCTTCCTCCAGGCTCTGCTCCCCCTCATCCGTCCCCACAGCTGCCCCACTTTCTTTCTTGTCCCTGGCGGAGCTCTGCCTAAAATCTAGGGTAACGGCCTCCTGTACTGGTGGGCCAGATCCCCCAGGACGGGTATTAATAGCCTCTGCTCAGAACGAGGGGCGAATCCAGGCCGGGCTCCTCTGAGGAGCCGCAGGGCACAATCGGCCGGAGAAGCCCAAAGCCACAACCTGCCCCCACCACGTTCCTCTCCAGGACTCTCGGCTCAGGAAGGCTGGTGGGCCCTGCGCCTGGGGGGGGGCGCCCTGAACCCAGGGCATCAAAGCCGAGCACGGAGCCTGGGCAGCTGCTGAGAAGGGAAGGAGAGAACCAGCACAATAGCGAGTAGGGGGGGGGTCCCGTGGTTGCTGGCCGTGGGCTCTGGGCCAGGGAGGGAGACTCTCCTGCCCTTAACCGAACCCCAAAGAGCGCCCCCCCGATCAGGGAGCCCCCTGCTCCTCCTCCCCCCCCAAAGGTCTACGCTGAGCCCGGGAGCCCCAGCCTTGGCCAGAGGGCTGCTCTCTTCTTCCTTCCCCCATCCCAGCCTGTGGACCCCCCCCCGCACGTACACAGGTAGGATGGGGGCTGCCCCCCTCTTCTGAAGCCAGGAAAGCGCTCCAGAACCCCCCCATTTTTGCAGGGGTGCAACGGCCAGTGTGCCATCGCAGAAAGCAGCCAAAGCCCCCCAAACTCACAAGGCCAGCCGAGTCCTCTCAGCACCCCATCTGTCCTGGGGGGCATCAAGAAAAATGGCTGCTTTTTGCTCCTTTGACAGGCAGCTGCCCTTGGGCACCAGCCCCCCCCCCATAGGGACCCACGCCCCGAGAAGGAAGGGGCTTTCTGACACCCCCTCCCCAGTCCCCTGACCCATCCCCTGCTGAGCCCCCCAAAGGGGAAAGAGCAAGGGAGCTCAAGCGAAGGGGGGAAGCTGAAGGTTACTTTGGGGGTGGGGGGGAAGAGAAGGGGGGGTCAGTCCCTTGCAGCCTCTGTTCAAAGGTGGAGGAGGATGGGGAGCCAGCTCAACCCTCTCACATGGGGGGGTGTTTGGGGGGTGGCTGTGAGTCAGCAGGGAGACCAAGGAGGACCTGTGCTAACAGCTGCCCCCCCCCACGGCTCCCTCCAGGCTCCCTCCACAGGCACAGCCCACGCCAGGCAGGGGGGGGGGAATCTGCTGGAGACAGTCAGAAAGGCCTGTTCACCTGCAGTCAGTCGGCAACCGAACGGGGGGGGGGGACCATGGCGGGAATTCATCTGGGTCTCTCGCAGCCCCCGCCCCACTTGTATGCAAACCAGGCCTTCCACAGGGAAGGAGGGAAGCTGCATCCTTCTTCCAAGGCAGCCCCCCAAGGGGGGGGCCAGTGCCAGGCCTTGGGGAGGGGGGGGGAAGGCGAGAGAGGGGCTCCCTCGGCCTTCCTGGCAGATGCCGGGATGAGGAATGGCGCCCGCAGCGTGGAAGGCAACCTTTGCTCCAGTAAAGCGGGCACGGCCAGCTCCCCATCCCCACCCAGTTCAGTTCTGCAGATGGCAGGCCGCCGTGCCAACCCTGGGCCGGCTCTTCCGGGCTGCCACCTGCTCTCTTCCAGGGTCCAGAGCAGGGAAGGACCGGGGCCTTCCCAGGCTCTGCATCCCCCAGGTCAGCTGCCCCCCCTCAAGGGAAGGGACTGGGCGGCCGCTTCTCACCCACAGAGGGGGGCTCCCCCAAGACCCTCCAGGGCTCCTGCCTCTTCAGAGAGGCTGCAAATCGGGCCCGGGTGGGGGAGGGAGCCTGCCTGCCTCCGCCCCCACTGAGGCTGCCTTCATCTCCATGGCAGCCTTCTTGGGGGGGGGCAGCTCTGGCTCAGCTCAGCACTGGGGCCAGGACTGCCTGTCCCCGGCTGCTGCAGCAGGGAAATTTTGGGGTGGGGGGGGTGGAAGAAGAGCCGTGGCGTACGAGCTTCCACCTCCCATCATGAAGGCTGGACTGGAGGCTGCCTCGATTTCCCCAGGCAAGCCAATGGCCAGTGGAGAGAGGGGAGACGGTTAGGGGGATTAAAGAAGGGGTTTACATCCACCTGCCCCACCAGCACCGCTTCCCCTTTGGGAGCCTCAGGAATTTCAGCCCAGCCCCCTGGCCATAAAACTAATCCTGGGGGGACTCATCAACCATGCTGACCCCCCTCCCACCCCAACCCTGCAGCTCAGTCTGCCAGTAAGACCCCACCTCCCCTCCCTGGCTGAGGGGGGCAGCCAGGAAGTGCCCGATTCCTTCTCTCCTCACCTCCTCTGACCTTCGCAAGGCCTGGGCTGGCTGGCAGAGAGCCGGGGGGGGGGGCTTCCTGGGGAGGGGGGAGGCTTGGGGCATGTCACCCTGCCCAACGCTGGAGCCACAGATTCTGCTTCCTTTGCAGCAGCAGCAGCTGGCCCTCGGGCCCCTTGCCGCTCCCTCCCCAGGAGGTGCCAGGCCAGCCCTTGGGCAAGACGGGGGCACGGGACGCCCACCGGCCGGCCGCCCTTGTTGCCCAGCCACACAGATGCCGCAGTTCAAACGACCACCTGTGGCTGGAGGCCATGCCACCGTGCTGAGCAGGCCACCGTGGCCCCTTTCACCTGCGCAAGGCCGGCCAACCGTGCGGGGCTTGGGCGGCTGTCCACCTCCTGGGTGGGTTGGGAAGAAGAGCCTGTGGGCCTCCTGCGGGCAGTGCCCAGAGGCATCTGGGAGCCTGTCTTGCGTTCCCACACATCAGGGGTGAAGTCCTGCCAAGGTCAGAGGTTGGAGGGGGAAATCCACCAGAAGCAAGGCCAGAGGGGCTGGGGGTCCAGCCTGTATCAGGGGCCTCCTGTCCCGTCTCTCCCCCCCCCCCGAACAATTTCACAAGGACCAAAAAATGGCTCTAACCCATACCACATAGGCTGTGAGGGAGGCTTCCATTTCAGGACCATCAGCTGGGAGGGAGGGAGGGAGGGAAGGAAGGAAGGAAGGAAGGAGGGAAGGAAGGACGGAAGGAAGGAAGGAAGGAAGGAAGGAAGGAAGGAAGGAAGGAAGGAAGGAAGGAAGGAAGGAAGGAAAGAAGAAATGAAGGAAGGAAGGAAGGAGGGAAGGAAAGAAGGAATGAAGGAAGGAAGGAAGGAAGGAAGGAAGGAAGGAGGGAAGGAAAGAAGGAAGGAAGGAAGGAAGGAAGGAAGGAAAGAACAAATGAAGGAAGGAAGGAGGGAAGGAAAGAAGGAATGAATGAAGGAAGGAAGGAAGGAAGGAAGGAAAGAAGGAAGGAAGGAAGGGGCTTCCTTCGTTTTGTGGGGACAGAGCCCCGAGCGATGGAAACAGCAGCAGCCTTGTCAATGTGCCTTAAGCCAGAGCGAAGAAAAGGGCCAAGGAGGAAGAGGAGGAGGAGGAGGAGGCCTTGGGAAGCCTGACCAGGCTCCTGCTGTGGGGGAGGGGAGGGGTGGGGAGGGCCAGGTCCCCATTTCAGGGCCTCCCCACCCACCCCCTGCAGCCAGTGATCCTCCCACAAGGTGCTTATTCACCCACCAGGCCGGGACAGACAGAAAAGCCGGTCTGGGCAGGTCCACCCTCCACAAAGAAAGTTGCCCCACCCTCCACACCTCCTGCCAGGCGGGGGAGCCCGAACCAGCCGAGCAGCCCCGGTGGCAGCAGCAGCCAGGAGGGAGCCGGCCAGCCTGCCCCACCTCTGGCAAGCGCCTGGGAGCCGGTGTCCCTGGGCTTCCAAGACTGGCTGCCCTGCCGCCAATGGGCAGGTGGGCCGAGCGCCACTGGGCCCCTCCGAGGCCCGCTACAGGAGTGGCCCACCAAGTGGCCCAGCAGGGAGGCTGGTCCCCAGGGCAGGAGGCCCCCCTCCCCCTCCCGGCTGCAGGACACGGACGCTGGGGCGCCCTTCACCCGCTCGGGGCTTGGCGGTGAGCCGTCCGGAGGGCAGCCACCTGGGCAGCCTGGCCGAGCACGCGGCAGGGACTGCCGGATCCAGGGGAGAGGCGCTCGCAGCGTAGGCAAGCGTGAAAGGGGGGATTGTGATTCGATTAAGGCCAACATGCTGCAGTCAACAAGTTCTCCCTAGCAACAAGCAGGCATGGTGGTGCTGCTAGCCAGCCCAGCACCCAGGTCCCCCTTTTCAGACCGTCTGGGAGGCCGGCCGAAGGGAGCAGCCGGCATGGGCCCTCCCGAAGCCTGAGCCACCGAAGACCCCCCAGCGCTGGGCCTGCAGAGATAACAGCGGCTCCTCTCTCCCCCCCCAAAGCAGAAGCACCTCCCTCTCCTCCCCCCCCCAGCTTCCATCAGAGAGCAGGTGCAGCGTGCAAAATCAGCCCCCCCCAAGTGTTCCTAATTAATAGGATGGGAAATTTCCATCCACGGCCATTTAATCAGGCCAGGAGCCCACGACAGGCGGAGGAGGTGCCCTCTTGGGACAGGAGAGGAAAGCAGGGCAGAGGGAGGGAGGGAGGGCAGGCCGGCCTCTGTGGGGAAGCTCAGCCCCTCCACAGCAGGGATCCAGGCAGGCACCCCTTCTCCAGGGGGGGGGCTGCCCTGGACTACCTGGAGGGTCAGAAGGGGCAGCAGAGCAGGCCTCTCCGCCTGTGAAAGCAGAGCAAGGCTGTCCCACGGGTGCCCCAGTCGCTCTAAAGGACGCCCCACTCCCAAGTGGGAACTCCGGAGGGGGGGAACACTCCCTAAGGCCAGGGCCCCCCAGATAAATACTCGTGGCTCCCCCCAACTTTCTTTTAAGCCAAGCAGCTCCAAGTAGGGCTGGGATACCCCACTCGCTACAGTGGGGGTGGGTGGGATGGGTGGGGGTGTTAACAGAACGGCCCCCCTTCCCTCCTTTGAAGAGCCACAATCTGACCCTGGACCGGTCACACGAAGCCCCCGCCCTGAAGGCCAGCCACGGGAAAGGGGAGTGTGGCCAGGGGTCGGTCCCCACTGCCGCCTCTCCCCTCCAGCTGGGACGGGGCCTGTCCAGGCGGGGCAACCGGGGCCCCACAAGCGAATGGCAGCCAAAGGAGCCCCTCTCCCCACTCCCCAGGCCCCCCAGCATCCTCCCTTCCGACCCCGGAGAAAGCCCGGCACGCCTGCCCTCCGCCACCCGTCTGGGGGAGGTCAGGGTCCCAAGAAAAGTCCCCCGGCCGCTCCTCTTTCCCCGGGGGGGGCTCAGGGCCCGCAGCTCCAGCTGTGGCACTTCCTCCCACACCTGCGCGGCTTCTCCCCCCCCCCGCCCCCCCCAGGGCCGCAGAGGCCAAGGCCGCCTTTCCAGGCCCCGCTCCCTTCGCTTCTGGGCCGGGATCCCCGTGGCGGGGAGGGCGGCTGGATGCCAGGCGCCGGGGCTCTCCGACGGCCAGAGACCGGGGGCCCAGGCCGGCTGCGCAGTCGGCCTCTCGGCTCTGCCTTCCGGGCCTGCTTCCCCGGCTCTCCTCGGGTGGGAAAGCCGGGGGGGGGGAGGCGAGAGGACAGCCCCTTCCAGGGGGGACCCGCCTGGGCCGGGCAGACCCCGAGGCCCGCTGCAGACGGCCGGAGGGAAGGGCCGAGCGCTCTCCCCAGAGGCTGCCCGCTTCCCCCCCCCAGGGACGCTGCCCGGGGCCCGGGCTGGGCTCTCTGCCCGGCTGCCTCCTCGGAGGGGCCCGGCCCGGCGCCTGCACCGCCTCCCGCTCCCACCCTGGACCGGGGGGGGGTTCCGGGGGCCTCCCCTGCCCCACGGGGCCCAGCTGGGATGGCTGCTGTTGCTCTTACCGGCTGCCCCCCCCGTCCTGCTGCGCCTCCCGGAGGCGAAGCGCGGCGCTCCGGGCGGCCGGAGGAGCAATCAGGCCGGGCGGGGGGGGGTCGGTGGCTGAACCCCCCCCGGCAGGCGCTCTCCTGCCCGGTCGAACCCCGCGACCCCCTCCCCGCCCCCCCCAGACAGCGCGTCTCCTCCGACGAGCCTCCCCCCCCCCGGTCCGGCTGGGCTCCAGGGTCCCGGCGGCGGCGCGACCCTCCCNCTTCCGCGGGGCAGGGGCCGCGGGGCTCCGTCGCTGGGGGTCCGCGGCGGAGGCGGCCTGGGCCGGGCAGACCCCGAGGGCCGCGGCGCGGGAGGCGGAGGGCGCCCCACTCACCCGCAGGGCGGAGAGGTCGATGTCGTCGAGGCTGCGGGCGGGGGCCGGGTCGGCCATGGCGGCGGCGGCGTCTTCCTCCTCCTCCTCTTCGTCCTCCGCGCTCGGCTACGGGCCCATCGCGCTGCCTGCCCGCCCGCCTGTCCGCCCGTCCGGCCGAGGAAAGCAGCGAGCGACCCTCCGAGCGCTCCGACACAGCGGCGCCCTGAGGAGCGGGCCACCGCACTGCGCACGCGCGGGGGTCTGGGGGGCGGGGCCTCCGGTCCAGCCTTCGCGGAGCTCTTTCGCCGCCGCGGCGGCGCTCCGCCCTCCCTTCGAGGGAGGGGGAGGTCGAGGAGGAGCGCGCGCAGGCGAGCATGCGTGGAATCGCTCGTCGCTCGGCAGCGGACGGAGCGGCTCTAGGGCACTTCCGGCGGAAGACGGTCATCGGGGAAGAGGCGCGGTGGCCCCACGTGCCGGGCGGCGGGTCGAAGCGGGGGGGAGCGCTTAGCGCCCGGCGGACCCCGGCCCACATTTCCCCCCCCCCAATATATCACCCCCGGCAAAGCAGACGCGGGACAAGGACGCGCAGGCGGAATGCGTGTTTATTGAACGTGTGGAAATGCAGAAAGACCGCAGCTGGCGATTGAGAAGTGCGCGACCCCCTACGGGGCCGTGGGGGGGATTCCCCTCGACTCGGCAGCCGCGGCCCCCCTTCGCCAGATGTCCGCAGGCCCCGCCAGGGCAGCCGGGCTGAGCCCCTTTCCAAGCGGCCCGCAAGCCGCGGGCATCCCCGGAGCCGGATCTGCTGCCTCCCCGCGCTCACGTCCACACCTCGGTGGGGATCATGCCCTCCTTGCAGTTCAGGGGCGGCAGCAGGTGCTCCTCGGCCAGGAACTCCAGCGGGAAGCTGACCAGGAGCCCCCGCAGCGCCTGCAGCCGGTCCCGCGCCCGGGCCGGATGGAGCGAGGCCAGGCTATCCACCGCCACGTGGTCGCGCAGTGCCCGGTGCGACCTCACGGCGTCGGTGGGAAGGCAGCGGAAGACCTGCGCAGTGCGGGGGCGGGATGGAAGGGGAACAGGGTCAGGGCACCGGACAGGAGGAGGCAGGGACGTCTGTGTGGGACGGGAGGGCTCTGCTAAGCACCCCCCAAAAAGATCCTGAAAGAAGGGACCCAGATCCCCCCCTGACCCGCATACATACACACTCCGCTCTTCCTCCGAGCCTGCAGCCAGCAACTCTGGCTGGGACAGTAGCAGGAAGGGAGCTGAAACCTCTGCCTGGTTCCCTCCCCCCCCCCCCGTAATCCCAGGGCTGGGTTTATGGGCCCGGTACTCATCAGCCCAGCCAACTGGGAGCAGAAATCCACAGGACTGGAAGCTGATTTGCAAACCAGAGTAAGAGGGATCTTAATAGGATCCATAGAGGTTCTCGTACCTCTACCTGTGAGACCCCCACCCCAAATCCTAGGCACCTACCTCCTCATAAATACTGGTATTGGCTAAGGCTCGGGCACACCAGACGCCATGGAAGAAGCAGTCGCTGATGGGGTCTTGAATGTCAATGTCGTCGTCTGGAGCGACCCCCAAGAGGCACCTGCCAGGGAGGTTTCAAGGCTGGGGTTCTTTTTGCAGCTGGCTGGGCAAAATGCACCTGCAGAGAGCAGGGCTTCCCCTCCCCCCCCCGCCCTGGGCTGCCTGGGCAGGGGCAGCTGGAGGACAAGGATCCCACTGCCTGGCATCTGCTGGGCCCTCCTGTCAGCTCCCTGTGGCCCCCGAGGGCTCTCTTCTGCCCCATCCACCCTCCCCCAATCTCTGGGCTCTTTGGGTTTTGCAAGGCAAAGGTGGGGGGGCTGCCCTTTCTGTCCCCGCAGCGCTCACCTGAAGCACTCAAGGCGCAGGCTCAGCGTGAACTTCCCTGCCGCGTACTCCTGACCGCCCATGGTGGACGGCACCAGCTCCGTGTCCTCCACCAGTACGGCCAGCTCACTGTCGCGCTTCCCCAGCAGGCTGCGGTCGTTGATGTTGGCAGAACCTTTGGGCGGAAGGGCCGTGAAGCGAACCCTGGAAGGGCTTGGGTGTCCCTGCCCTCCACCACTCCCCGCAAGCCTCCCCACTCACCAATGATGATGCGCCGGTCGTCCGCAATGAGCATCTTGCTGTGGATGTAGACCAGCTCCGTGAGAAGGGCGCCCTGCAGCTCCCCGTGGGTCCGAAGGCCGCAGAAGGAGACGTAGTTCCTCCAGCCCTCCCCCACTTTTGAGGTGGGAGGGAGAGAAGAAGGGAGATGTCAGCCCTGAGCCCCCCATGTGCCCCCCTTCCAGCAGAGAGCCAGGCCTCACTCCTGGGGTGGTGGTCACGAGGGGCTCGAGGGCCCCAGGGCGAACTCTGCTCTGGCCCCTCCCCCCCAGTACTCACTGACTGCCTGGAGGCGACTGACGATGGACGACTCCCCACGGCAGAGAGTCCTGCAAAGGGAAGAAGGGGTCTGAGCACTCCTCCGCCTCCCTCCCCACGGCCAGTTCCAGTGGGGAGCCGGGTCTTGGGCCCCTGAGCCCCGGGGCCAAACTCACCGGTAGGTGAAGTGAAGAATGGCTTGGATGGAGTTGCTGCCTCCCTGCGCGATGTCCCCCTCAAACCCAGGCAAGAGGGGCAGCAGCACGTACACCCTGAACGGCTTCTTCTCACTGCAGTGGGGGAGACATCCCCCCCCCGGGCGTTAGACGAGATAGGGCAAAGGGGGGGATGTTTCTCCCTGCCCCCCCCGTGTGGTTCCAGTGGCATAGCTTTTCTGAGCAGGGATGGGGGTGTGAAGGGGGGGCTGGGCTGCTGGCGGCTTCACACCGAGAGCCGGTTGGGTCTCGTGAAGGTGCCAGGCTGGAAAGTGGGAGACGGTGGGTTCAGTTCCCCCTTGGGCATGGAAGCTGGCTGGGTGACCTTGGGCCGGCCACTATTGGCCCAGCCCACCTCGCAGGGCTGTTGTGGGGAAAAGAGGAAGATGTGTTGGGTGTGTTCGCCACTTTGAGATTTGTAAAAATAAAAGACGGGAAATAAATCAATAAGGGAGAGGTAGCAGGCAAAGAGGTTAGTTACTCAGGTGCAGCTCGATGCTTGCAAGTGCCAATCCAGCACCGTGGCTCCCTGGGTGCCTCTGCAGCTCACAACACCCCCCCCGCCCCTCCCTCAAAGAAAAGGGGGCAGCCAGGGCTCCTAACACGGTTCCCTCCCCCTCTGGGGCTGGCTTCAGTCTCTCATCCTGGACGCGGAGCAGCAGGCATTGAAGGGAGCCCCGCTGTTTTGGAATCACCTCAACAGCCAAGCACCCCCCCTTTGGCTGCTGGGGGGTCGGGGGGCGGTGGGCACGGCAGCAGGAACTGCCAGACCCGCTTCAGGAGGCCGATCGAGGGCTCCGTCTGGGGCCCTGGAGGGGCAGGTGGGCCTGGCCTCAGCAGGGAGGGCAACTGGGTGCCGCCAAGGGAGCGGTGGGGCAAAAGGCAGCCGAGCCTGCAGCAGGAATGTGGGCAGGGCAGAGGGGCTTCCAAGAGGCCTTCCCTGGTGCAGGGGGGGAGGGGGGAGGAGATGGGCTTCCCTGCTTGCAAGGTTCTGTTAATGTAACCTTGCAATTAAGTGTTAATTAGCTCGTCTGCCCTGCTTCCCTGTCCGCTTTCCCCCACAAGGCTGACGAGAACCTGGCAGTAGTTTTCCAGATGGGCACGGCAGTCTGAGCATGTGCAAAGAGGCTCCCTCCACGAATATGGCACATCTCTGGTAACCTGGATGCGTTGGCCTCCCCCCCACCCCCATTTGCCAAACCCACCTGTGGGCCAGCAGGATCCGCTGCACGATCGCGTCTCCCACAGTGTTGAGCACCGAGCGCCCGTCTGTGCAGCTGATGAAGAACTGGTTCTGCCAGGGGGAAGGGCAGAGGGGCCCCTTTCAGATCTGTCCTGTCCCGTCCCACAAAGGCCTGGGGAACATTTCTCTGACGGAGCCAGTCCCCAGGCTGCCCTAGAGCTGCCCGGCCCTCCTCCTCCTCCTCCAGCCTACCTCGATGTACAGGTAATGCTGGCTGGTCCTGATGACCTCCAGGTAGGCGTTGTAAATGGAGCATTCGTGCAGGCCGGCTGACCACCGGTCCACGGAGCGCAGCACCTGAGGGCGCAGCCAGAGGTCTTCCGGGTCAAAAAGGGTGGGCTGGGACACTGACCCCCCCCGCTGCCCCTGGTCTCCTGGGAGCCCTTGGATGTTCTAGGAATGGGGGCTCCTCTGCTCCCCCTTCAAAAGGTCCTGACCTTTTGGGCACCAAAACCCAGGAGGGGCATGCAGAAGCAGCCTCTTCAGCCGGAGCCCCACGTGCCGCCTGTTGTTCTCAAGCAAGGCACCCAATGCGGTCCCCTCAGAAGCCCCCAAACCTGCCCCTTTCCAGCCACCCTGACCCTGCACCCTCACCTGGACATCAGCCACCTGGGCACCAGGCACGAGAAAGGGGAGCCGTGGGGGGATGTGAGGGGACTTGGGCAGCAGATAGGGGTACTCGGAGCCTTTGTACTTGGCCTTGATGGTCTGAGGAGTAGAAACGGGGGTCAGTGGCCCCAGATCCCTGGCCCCTTTTCTTGGCTGCTTGTTCGGCATGCAAGAAATAGGGTGAACGTGCAGGGGTGCAACCGCTCACATGCGCATCCCAGCCAATCTCTCTAATGTTCATCGCTCTCTTGAGTAGTGACAAGTCGGGAAATGGACATTGACAGTTATCAATAAAGAGTCCACGCCAGCCGCGCAACCGAAGGATGGAAGGCATTCCAGGGGTGGGCAACCTTGGCTCTTTTATGACTCGTGGACTTCAACTCCCAGACTGGCTCAGGAATTCTGGGAGTTGAAGTCCACCAGTCATAAAAGAGCCAAGGTTGCCTACCCCTGTTCTAAACCACACAACGAACTTTGATAGCCACATAAAAGTGGCACTTATTAAGCAAGAGGCCGGAGAGGCAAAATTGGGCATGGGGTGCTCCCTGCCCCCAATAGCTCTGTGATCAGCCTGACGGGAGACGGGCTGCCCTCCCCCCCTCCCGGGAACCGAAAGA